AAAAAAGAGTCGCTCCCGGGTTTTTGCGCTACTAGTGGTCTTTATTAGAATGCTAGAATGTTGCTCGGCCTCGTTGTGGGCTTATGCAAGTTGATCCTAGTCTAAAGAGGCGCTCGAGCACTGGGAGTACACGGCCTACAATGCGAACCCTGCTTCTGAGGCGTCTTTCTACTCTCTACTTCTGCTGTCTTCTTTTGGCTTCCTCAGCCTCAGTCAGGAGAGTTGCCTCTCCTCACCTTGGCCTTCGGTCACCACCTACTCTACCTCCATTCAGCTTCCTCAGCCTCAGTCAGAAGAGTTGCCTCTCCTCACCTTGGCCTTCGGTCGCCACCTACTCCTGCTCCATTCAGCTTCCTCAGCCTCAGTCAGGAAAGTTGCCTCTCCTCACCTTGGCTTTCGGTCGCCTCCTACCTTCTCTCCTTACCTTGAGCTCAGCTCAAGCTCGGTACGGGCTCGCCCCGTCTTCTTCCTCGCCCTCGCCTTGCTCTTCCTCCATGTCTTCCTCTTCTTCGCCATCTTCCCTCATCTCCACCCGCAGTCGGTCCTTCTTGTCCACCTTCAGCGAGCAGGCCAGCACATGCATCTCTGCGAATTTACTCAGTGCTATGAACAGGAAGCTAAGAGATCGACGCTCTATGTCGTCGCTCTCCGCCTCCTGCTCAAGCTCAGCAGCTGCCGTTGCCCGTGGCGAGAACGCGCTGCCCCTCCTTGCCTTCTTGCTCTCTCCTTGCACGCGAGTCCAGCGCTTGCTCTGCAGCCACTTCCCCAGCTTCTCCTTGAGAACGTTGCGCCCAACTCCCTGCTCCTCTGGCATCTTCGCCCACTCTCCCAGCGACATGAACTCCAGGCTCCCCGGAGAGTAGAACGTGTCGTGGAGGTTGCCAACGGCCTTGTCCAGGACCAGCTTGATCGGCTCGCTCGTCCCCGCCTCGTTCAAAGAAGCTGCATCTTCGATGACTGCTGACAGCTCGCTGACGAGCTGCATGTCCTCTTGGCTTGACGGAGATGCTGCCTCCATTGTGATCCTCTCCAGGTCTGTAAACTCCAGCCACTCTCCCTCGCTCTCCTCCTGTCGCTGCGCTGCGTCGCTGGTGCCCCGCTGACCAGCCGCCTCAGAGTCAGGCTCCTTGTCGAAGCCGACTGCTTCGAGCTTGGTTGCTGCGCCTTCGAGATAGAAGGGCAGCTCCTTCATCATGCGTCGAGCATCCTCCGTGGAGCCGAGGAGGATGCATAGCTTGGACCCGTTCCAGGACTTGGTGTTCAAATCCTCCTCCATGTCGATGCCTTCAACGTTGATCTCGAGCCTGTTAGCGATCTCCAACAAGACTCTCTTGACTCTTGCGATAGACGTGTTGCCGCCGTTGCACAGCCCCTCCATCTCCTTCCTCGTGAAGCGACCAGATGCCGCCGTCGACTTGATGATGATCTTGATCTCCTTGCCGTCCTTGCCGCCTGCCTTCTTCTGCAGTCTTGATGCCTTCTTCAACTTATTTCTGGACACAAAGCGATCAGCTGTCAACTCGACTGCGAGCGCCTCTCTGATCTTCGGGTCCTCGCTGAACAGAGTCAGGTGTACTCCCTCCATCGCTTCGCTCTCTCGGAAAGCTCGAAATGCTGTATCATTCGCCTCTGGGCAGCTCGAGGAGACGATCCACTCCACCTCCCTCTGTCTCCAGATGACGTTGGCCCCTACAGCGATGAAGCCTTTCTGACCTAAGCCTTTGTGGACTTGCTGTCCTGGCGCCCCAGCGACCAGCATGCCTGCCAGCGGCTGGAGTTGGACCGCTGCAAGGGACTGGCGCAGCAGCTGATAGCGATAGACGGCCGCTATCTCAGCCGTTGTCATGCCGCCCAAGGTTAGCAGGTGAGTCAGCTCTGCCAAGCTGCCCCCTTTGCCCCAGGGTCCTCTCTTGGCTCGAATCTTGAAAGATCGATCGTGCACGATGCTCACATGTACAGCTGTGAACTTGCGACCATCGATCGCGAAGTCCTCTCTTCCCTGCCAGAGCTTCTCCGCTTGTGCATTGCGGAGGAAGGAAACAGTCACCGGGATCTCCTCAGCACTCGCTATCTCGGGTCTATACGGAGCCTTCCACATGATTGCTTTACTCTCTTGCACTGAGTCTACGATCAGTCCGATCTCTTCAAATTTCTTCTTCAGCTTTTCTTCATGGTTGACATACACCGAGGAGATGCCCAGGAGAGTCATGGAGATGAAGGAAGTCACCTCGTTGCCTGCTGAGGCGGTGTATGTCTCGACCTTCTCCTTCTTGGCTTCTTCAATCTGCTGCATAAACCACTCTCTGGATGCGTCACTCCATCCAGCCATCGCTTCTTGCAGAAACTCACGTCGTGCCTGCTGACATGTCGAGCGGATGGCTTCTGCGATAGCGTCGGGGGTGCATCCCTCCACAGCCTTGCAAGCCTGGGCTGTCCTGCTGTTCGGATAACGCTTCGCGAAGCTCTTCACCCTCTCGACGAGATCAGCTTCGAGGACAGAGGCATCCACAAGTCCGCTCTGCGTGTATTGGCATGATCTCCGATACAGCAGGTTGCGAACATTTTCATCATACTGAAGAACCATACTTAGAAAGCTATTTGCCGAAAATAACGGCGCCTGCCGAAAATAACGGCGCCTGCCGAAAATTCCCCTACACCTGACGAGGAGCCATGCTGCCGAAAATAACGGCGCCTGCCGAAAATAACGGCGCCTGCCGAAAATAACGGCGCCTGCCGAAAATAACGGCGCCTGCCGAAAATAACGGCGCCTGCCGAAAATAACGGCGCCTGCCGAAAATAACGGCGCCTGCCGAAAATAACGGCGCCTGCCGAAAATAACGGCGCCTGCCGAAAATAACGGCGCCTGCCGAAAATAACGGCGCCTGCCGAAAATAACGGCGCCTGCCGAAAATAACGGCGCCTGCCGAAAATAACGGCGCCTGCCGAAAATAACGGCGCCTGCCGAGGCGCTCGAGCACTGGGAGTACACGGCCTACAATGCGAACCCTGCTTCTGAGGCGTCTTTCTACTCTCTACTTCTGCGCCTGCCTAAACCCTAAACCCTAAACCCTAAACTAGATCCTACTCAAAGATCAAGAAAACTGATGATAAGAATCGAATAAGCTCCAAGTGCGTTTCCACAGTTCGAGTCAGATATTCGACCGACCAATCTGGCTGGGGAAGGCTTGTTTTTCCAATTCGAAGATCAATCAAACAAATTGAGGCTGAGATGAGAGGCCTAAACAACTTGCGCAGGCTAGAGAGAGAGCCTGATTGAAGAGAGGAGTCATCCTAATGTGTAAGGCTTGATAGAATTGCATGAATTTTCAACAGTAACGAAACAATACCAAGAAAGAAAGAACTCCAGTAAACAATTCAACTAACCAAATATAAGATCAACATGATTGAGCATGTAATTGAGGCGCTATCTGACTGGCACGGCTGGCATACGTTCCATCATAGAAAGCTATTTGAACTGTACCTAACCCTTGCTCGCAGCTTCCTCCGGTCCCCTTGCGCTCTCCCTACGCCGCCGCGGATGTGCATGCCTCGGGAAGGGGCCCGCCTGCCTCCGAGGCTCGGGAAGGGCCCGCCTGCCTCGGGAAGGGCCCGCCTGCCTCGGGAAGGGCCGCCCGGCCTCCTTCCTCGGGAAGGGCCCGCGAAGCCTACTGAGTGCCCGGGCCCGACATGCGACTATGGCAGAGTCGCATTAGCGTTTGAAGGTAGCATGGTGCCAAAGGCATCTCTTGTCCTCTTCGTCCTTGCATCCCTACAGTCATGCAGGCTGATCCCCTCTTCTGATACAGACCCTTTACATCCAACGATACTCTCCAAGACATTGCGACTTCGTGGAGGGTTGGATTCGGCTGCTAGATTGCAGCAAAACTATCACGAAAATAGATGGGAAGAACGGAGAAGAGAGTTGCAGCCATTGATAGATGCCGCTATTGAAGAACATGAAAGGAAAAAGGCAGAATTAGCTGCAAAACAAGAAATGTCCAATCGAAATAACAAGGACCCTGAGGATGAGGACATACAAAGAATTGACAGAATCTTTGAGAACGCAACAAGGGACTCTGTTTCTGAGTTTGTTGAGGAAAACACTTTTTTCTGTGTAGATCCTAATGAAAACAAAGATTTTCTCTTCAATGATGTCGACGAAGACTGCCCTTTGAATCAGAGCTCCGGAACCAATTCAGGAAAGGTTGTACAGTGCTTTTGGTGCACTGATGCCGGCATTGTTTCAAAGAATGTGACGAATGTAAGAAAGTTCATGGAAGAACGAAAGGCCGAAGAGCGAAAGGCTAGGGAAATTTTATGGACGAGAAATCACATAGACTGTGATATGGATGAAGAGATTGCACGGCGAATCTATGCCTGTGAGGAGATGCAGAAACGAAAGATCGACGTTCAGATCCTTGATCCTTTCAATGAATCGACTTGGGCTGTTTCAGCATCTGTGAAGCAAAAGCTCCAAGAGATGAGGGAAAGAAATGAAGATTTGGCCTTGCCTGTTACTCTGTCTAACTTTACACCGATCAAACTTGTCAACATCTCAATGGTGGAGAAGATGTTTCGACAGCGACAAGAAATGAAGCCAAAGAAGGAGGAGATGGTTATCCCAACACTGGAAGGCAACATAACAGTCAAAGTTGCAAACCTCACACCGTCATTTCGGGTATACCTGGCCTTTCTGCAAACATTTTCTTGACTTGGCGACAGTTCAACTACGAAATCAATGACACAGAATGGTTTGGTATCGATTATCGGGGGGCAGAGGAGAAATACAACTTATCCGAAGCTGCATTTCAAGAGATGTGTGATCAAGTAAGCAAAAACGTTTGACATTGTGGATTTTTCTGACTTTTTTCTAGTTCAAGATTGGTCCTTCGCTCGATCCGGTCCACCCAGATGTCTTGATTGCAAATGCCGATATCCAGGTATGTGATCTTGAAGTTTGAAATTTATTCCGACAAATGGCTAGGAGAGACTGTTCGATATGTCGGGGGGGGCTGAAGGGTCCCTCAAAAAAGCTTTTCGTCTCTATCGACGAGCAGTAGAGCTCAACGATACCTCTGCCAGAGCCCTGGCAAGCCTTGCAAAATTTCTCTACAGACGGCACGGAAATTTTACAGAAGCAGATCGTCTTTTTCAAAAAGCCCTTCACTTTGAGAAACAAGATTTGTTTTCTCTACACGAGTACTTGAAGATGTTAACAAAGTGGGATGAACTAGCCAGCTCTAAATTTTCAAGCCAGAACTTCACTTTTATCTATTACCTTCATAGTCAACAAAGAAATATCTCGACACGTCTTGACGAAGCCCTAGATAGGCAACAATGTATGTTGACAGATGAAGAGATACGACAAGTCAAAAAGGAGACTATGCAACAGGTTTGGCCTTGTACTCCTTGTATCACCCAAACCTGAGATTCAGTGATAAGGTGGAGGATTTTGTTCGCAGCGGAATGATCTCTCTCCCTTCGACATTAGACGAAATGGCAGCTGACAGATTTAATGACCTGGAGCTGCAGTGTTATACAGAATTAGCTGAATTTGATAAGTCTCATTACCCCCACGATGTGTATCACCAGCTGTTGGAAACCTTGTACAGAAGTGTTCCCCAAGAGAGTAAAGAGCAAATTCTTGCTGAGCGGAGGGCCAAATATGGAAATTCGACATCATGGAATGAAACGTTTGAACGGTCAAGATTGATCTGTCCCCTCACTGAAAAGGTTCAATGCTGGTGAATTTGTTGTTTCTCACCCGGTTAGCAGATTAAAGATCTTCTGAGAAGGGCCCCGGAAGATGCGAAGGCAGCAAGACAGCGAGATCGAGCCAATCGATTGCTTCAAGACTTTCACAAGAAGTTCAATATATCAGAGTATCTCTTGCGAACATGCAATTACTTGATGGGAGAGAAGGAGAACCTCACATTGCAAGAGTACTTCGAAGTCACGCGCCTGCTTAATGGAAACTTGAGCCAGAAGGGATACGATCGACTTTTGGAAACAGCCAGCCATGATCAACCCGAGGTGACAATCCTGTTCCTCTTTCTACCCTTGACCTTATCTTGTTCTCTGTTTCTTTTCAATGAGTTCTTGCCATTCCCTTGTTCGTAAATTCTGACTTGTTTTGTTCTCCCACTGCAGAATCTGACGGCCATAGAGAGGCACTTCAGACTTTGGCGTTATGCAATCCGAGAAGACGAAGATCCGTTCACGCTGCTTGGGGATGGAACAGGGCTTCCTCTATCGGAGAGCGAGGATGAAAGCGAGGAGCAAGCAAAGAAAGGAAAGACAGTTGTTGGCACGCTACATCGCATGGAAAGGAAAGACGCAGAAGTTCCTGAAGGACCCCTTCCTCTCCATCGCTCGGACTTGCCTCTCCTTGGTCCCGAAGAAGAGGAAGTATCGTCTCCACCTGCAGAATCAAAAGCACAAGAGCAATTCAAAGAGAAGATAGGAGAGGAGGGTGGGGAGGAAGAAGAGGGAGATGGATTTATCAAACGAGTGATATCCCCCTGGAATCGCCATTATCCATGGCGAGGGGATCGCAACGATGTTGATCATCTCGATACAGCACAAGCGATCTTCACGTGCCAATCAGTGATCAGCAGCTTCAGTTGGATTTGCAAATTATGCGATGGAGATTTAAAGCTTTCAGTGTTGCAGCTGGTAGTGGCACAACGAGCCCACAAGCGTTTCGTCTCCATTTGTCGAGACCTTATCACTCACAAGGGCGAACCCATGACGAGGATGCACGAGCTCGTATCAGACTTTCTCTTGCTCTGGAACCAGTCCGTTTCGCTGCAATCGCTCAAGGATGTCCCAAGCCATGGCGACGCCAACATGAGGTTTCACCTCGACGAGATTCAGATGTTGGAGAAATTCAGGGAGGTGCTGGAGAAACAACCGCTCTCTGAGCATGGAAAAGACATCGTGATGACATTGAGTACATAAAATATCCCTCCTGACTTGTCTGTAGCTTGCAAGAACGCTAGTGGCATCTTATCTGGAGAGCCAGGAGGAACTTGAGGAGGAACTGAAGGTATATAAGGATGAGATCTAAACTTCTGAGAGGCTGCAGGTCAAAAATATGTCCGCACCTGATCCACATGACTACGAAGAGAACACTGACTTCATGAAAGACCGTCTCATGTTCATGCTCCAACAGGTCAGCCCCTCGTCCTCGTGTTCGGTGTCATAACCAGATGTAGACGTGGAGATCGAACGACACTTGGGTGCTGAAGATGGAGAAGCTTGATAAGGAATTAGAGGAAGACGAGTTGTACAAGCTCGACGATCAATTGGTGTTGAGACCGAAAAGAGAGGCTGACAAGTGTTGCCTCACCTCCAAACAAATCAAGAAAATCAGCGATGAGATCTCGTCGAACGTGCTCATCTTACAGCTGGGAGAGCAGGTGATCAATTGCTTCTCCGGGCTGGCAGCAGCAGCTACCCATAGTGGCTTCTCGTCGATTGAGGATTACTTTCAAGCAAGAGGAGGTGAAAACCTGTGGAACCATTCCAAGGTCGTGGAGGAAGAGATCCTCGTTGCTTCCATGCGCGAGATCTCCTCCAGCAAGAAGCAGTGCGATCTTTTCATCCCCCACGCTGGGAGTGTGCCTCTTCCTGAAATTATCCCCGAGCATTTGAATGGGTCTGATTGGCCAGAGGAAAGTCTCCGTCCTCCCTGCGAGAAAAGTCACTTGCTTCCTCATTGGTGGCCTCTTTCCATTATCAACGACCCTCTGGCTTTCTTCGCAGCCAACCTCATCGACTCAGTTGCGGGAATGTGGAGGGGGATGAAATTCAAGGGGCCCAGCTCGTACAAGCGCAGAGACCCCGAGAGCATCCCAGCTGTCGACATTTTGGCTGATCGGCTAAGAAATGCGAGTAGAGGAGGAAAGAATGAAATGGAAGGCGGATAGCTTTCTCATCTTCACCTCCTACAGCATTGGGGAATGTCGACGGTCCAAGTTACTCAATTTACTCTTCCGAAAGAATATTTTAAAGGGTCCAAGATAGCTTCCTCATATTGAGAGGATCTCAGAGTCTCGTGACCATATGAGAGCGTGTCAGATTCAGATTCAGACTTTGGAAACAGTGATTCTTGGTGGGCGATTGGCATCATCGTTGATACATGCCTGATGTATGACAATCACAATGCAGAGTGCTCAAGCTCCTTCCACTGGACTTCTTCCTTCTTTCCCGAAAATTTGCTGAATCCTGCTTTCAAGTCTTCCACATTCTGCCGTCTCACTATTGAAACTCCTAGGAATATTGTCAAGATACGATCAACGAACGCAATCACGGGTATCATAGATCATGTGAGAAGAAGGAGGGAAAGCAAGCATATCGGCTCACCGTTAGGGATTTTCTGCCATTTTTTGACCATATAAGTGCTTGTGCCAAGAACAACGAGGACAGCGATTCCAATTGGAGGCAAGAGATAAGGCAGCACTTCAACCGTGTGATGAGCCTTCCGATCCGCCTGATCGACGAAGATCTCATTGTGCTTCTGCAAATGAAGGAGATCAGAAAAGATAATTTCATCCACCTTAACCTCCCATCGCTCCTTGCCATATTCCTTCTCGTCTTCGCCCTGCCTCCTCCTTTCCCGTGAGAGCATATAATCACCTTTCCAAGGTTTCTGAGCGCAACTGCTTTCCGATGCACAGCTTCGAATCTTGCTGACATGTGACCTCGATCATCGATGGCTTTCTCTGCGATGTTTGATCTGGCTCGAGAGTGTTCCCGTTGCGTAGCCAAAGCCTTCTGTTTCACGCATCAATATGCGAGTCGCTAACTCATCTCACCTCACCTTAGCACTTGCTGGTTTGACTTGAGTCTGTACGATGTGCCCGTCTTTGTCGATGTGCCAATCATGCAGCAAGGCCCCGTCGCGTTTTGCTTCCACACGAGCTTTCACATTCAGGTTCTTCATGGCCTTCCTTCACTGTCAGCTTTTGCAGCAGGGCAAAAGAGACAACCGATACCTTCTGTCTCCTCATCGAACCATCGTCCATCTGCAGTGACTTTCTTGCCACAGCAACTTTCTGCAGCATTTATCAGCCTACCGCAGACTGAAGCGAAAAAACTACCAGCATCTTTTCATCGTGATTGGATACTGATTGCGCCTCCTTTAGCATCCGTTGATCTTCCTGCAGGGACTGATGAGCTCAGGTCGGAGGCAGCACGAGGAAAGTACTTCGACTTGTCGCTTAGCCTGACGTACAAGCGCCTCGTCCCTTTTCTCTTCTCTTTCAAGACGCAGGGGATGCATAGTTGCCCAAGGCTTGGTGACCTAAACCACAAGGAAGTCATGCTCGAGGCCGAGCCAAGTCTTTCCAGCACACCATCGTCTTCATCTTCTCTTCCACTTTCGCCGCACGAGCTGCCATGGCAAGATCGCGCTCATGGATGATGGTTTCAAGTTCTTTTGAAGAACGATCAAGCGTCGGCGAGAAATCTGAGAGCATCTGAATGCCGAGCCCATGCAGATAGTCATTGTATTTCTTAGCGCATTGACAGTCTATAAGAAAGGAAGACAGCACAAATGATGCAAGAAAGATCTGCACGTCCTGTGCACTCAAAATTATAAAGCAAAACGAGCCCAGCACCTCTCACCTTCATATCCGCTTGTTGCTTAGCAGAAAAGGATTTCACTGGAGTCCAACCTTATCCTTGAAAAGAAAGTAATCATAACCTGCATAGCAACAGCAATCTAGAAAAATAAGATCATTGCAATATCGAATGAAAGCTAGACCGATAGCAATACGCCAAGCGACGCCCTCTTTTCACATCTCAGTAGTGGCACCTTGGATCCGGAAATTCTAGGCCATGACGACACAGATAGCACCGCAAGTGTGGTGTATGAGCTCACGTGTAGCTGCCCATCCCTCTGCCTGCTTCCTTCCCATCCCCCTGCCTGCTTCCTTTCCTTTCTCCCTCCACCTCCCTTCCTTGGCGCGCGCATTCCGCGACACGTCTGGGGCGGAAATAAATTGAGAGGGTTTAGTTCCACTCATGTTTAGTTACTGGGCTTCAGCGGAAAAAATTAGTCAAGGCTTTTTAGACTCCTCCCGAGAAGACCGTGCAGGACTGTCGCTTGTTCCCCATGTCGCTCCCCATGTCGCTCCCCATGTCGCTCCCCATGTCGCTCCCCATGTCGCTCCCCATGTCGCTCCCCATGTCGCTCCCCATGTCGCTCTCCATGCGTCACCTGTGCTCTTACTCTCCTCACCCTTTGGTCGCCCTCAGCCTGCGAATCTGCTAATCGAATCTAACTCTGCCTCCGCAGCGAAGGAGGGGTGCCAAGCACGGTCTGAGAGCCGCCGGCGCCTCTGATGGCGGACGGGCCATCATACTTTGACCCCGAGCAAGAGTCACGACAGAAACCAATGAACGGCATGTCAACGTATGCAGAGATAGCCATCGAACTCTCCGACAGTCGCGCAAGCGCCCAACGCTTGCGAGAAGGGATTGCCATGAAGACGCAAACAGGCGACGATGCAGGCGAGCTGCATGTGGACCAGCAAGTCCATGAACAGGCGGAGTCTCATGATGAGACGCAAACGGATCATGAAACCCTCGCGTCTCGGGTTCGCAAGACGATCCAAGGAATAGCCGCCCCAGCTGAAATCTTGGCCGAGACAGTGATGAAGGGGATGAGCAAAGTTGGGCATGCAGCAGATCCTCTCGTTCAGGCTGTGCGATCGGACCTGGCAGGAACGGACGCGCCTGAGCTCACAGGCATGGAAATCTGCAGAAACAGGTCATGAGATGTACTTCCATCCCAGCATACTGATGGCGCTCCATAGCAAAACGGGAGAGTTTGTGATCCAACAGGACTTGGTAGAGAACAACCGACAGAACTTGTCGATGTTCTGTTCGAGAAAGGTCGTTAGTACATGGAATTCTTCTTGCAGAGCTTAAAATGGAAAGGTCAGGAGCTTGAAGACGAGTTCGGCATCAGTATCCGACAATATTACAACTTTCTCAACTTTCTTACCGTTGCAAACATAGCACTGCTTCTCTGCTCCCTCGTTGGTGAAATGCTGTGACTGTTCGAGCTCTCTTGATGTCAAATCATTGCAGGATGGCTTCCTCACGCCCTGAATACATTTCCTAAATTACGCGATGAGGTCTGCTCTTGTACTGTTCGTTGCAATCTCTCTGATCCCAGGAGGTCATCAGGGCCTTGGATGGCGTCAAGACGTGAGCAGCTCTCAGCTACTGAGTGCCTTCCTCCTCTCCTCCTTCCAGCCCTCGTCTGATAGCTACTGGATAGCCATGCTCAGTCTTTGTTACTCGCTGTCTGCAATGTTGGGACCGGCTTATTATTTGATCGACCTTTTCTATTTCAAAGATGCATCTCAAGAGCAGTATGTAAGCTACTCATATCCCTTCCCATCCCTTCCCTTCCCTTCCCTTCCCTTCCCTTCCCTTCCCTTCCCTTTGCGTTCCCTTTGCGTTCCCTTTGCGTTCCCTTCCTTTCCTTTCACTTCCCTTCCCTTTGCATCGGCCACATACTCTGTGATGTTGCACGTCTTAGCTTGAAAGAAAGATCAGACTAGATGACATCGACAGGAAGGTAATGGTTGATTGCTAAATTTTCTCTTGTCGTTTTCTTCTCGCGTTGTTTACCCACTGATGGCAACCTGAAGATTCCGATAGAAGACAATCCCGACAGGCTGACCAAGTCAAAATACATGATACTGTCCTATTTCCTCTTTCTCCTCTGCCTCAGCGTTCCCATCATCGTCATGTATTTTATCTTATTCGGCCTCAATCGAATGATGATACAAGTATGTGTGCTTCGACCATCAACTTCATTATGATTGACGTGTCACTGCAACGTATCTCCCTCTCTCCTCCCTTACCTCTACCTCTACCTCTACCTCTACCTCTACCTCTTGAATCCGACATTGGCATGATAATCAGCGTTATTTTGATAATGAAGATTCGTTCTCCTCTTTGTTGTTGACTGCTTTGAAAACTTTCAGGAAAATTACAAAGTTGCAACAAATTTTCCCACTAACTTCTCTGGGACGTCTCGATTGCTTGTAAGCTTCAGTTTCCATCTTGCCTCCAGTCTTGTTTTCTTGCCTTCATCTTCTTTCTTCTTCATCCTCTTCTCTATGGTATCTGTGCCGTCTGCTGATTTCTTCTCCTCGCCGTTTTCCCTCTCGCAGGTCGCGCTTCTTGCCATCAGCACGTCCAGCATTGCAAACTTTATTTTCGGACTCGTTGCAGGGCTTCTGACAGACTTGGAGCTGCACGAGACGTGGACGGGCTACCGCAACCATCGCCTGGCGAAGCTCGTGGTGTACAGGTCAGAATTTTACCTGCGCGCATTCCTGAAGCTCTTCTCTTCCTTCCTTGGCTTCATCCCCCTGCTTTGCACGTTGCTCATCGCAAGACGGACAGGATCTGCAACACGATGGCTCTGCTCTTCTTCACCTACTATGCTGAGGTTGGAATATTGAGTGCATGAGATAGAGATGGGGGAGACTAGATGAGAAGGACGAGATCTGTAGGAGGATGTCAACTGAGCACCAGGTCCCTTGGTACACCTGCATGATTACCAGGATAGCTCTGCAGACGGTGAGGACAGAAGGAAGGGAATGGAACTGATATGATTGTTCAGATTCTTTTCGTGGGAATGGACCTTGTTGTCACCCTTCTGCTCCAAATGATATCACCCTTCGTGTATCAGGTGAGATCAAAACCTCGTTTTTATCAAAGTCAGTGACACGTTGTGTCAGTGGTGGCTCAATATCATTAATTGTCGTCCTTGCTGCGAAGACCAACAGGTTGATGCAGGGTCAAGGTGTGGACTCACATGACATGACCAGGACACCCGCGAGCCCTTTGAACTGACGGAAGAATATTTCAAGTTGGTGAGTGAGAATTGAGATAGAAGAGACTCAGCAAACCAGCTGCGATGAAGAGGAAGGGGAGTTAGTGAAACAAGACAGCAGAACAGGAGATGGAAAGACAGGAAAAGGGAATGGGAGTTAACTTAACCCTAACGCAATAACTGAGAGAGTCCAATTCAAAAATAATCAAATTTGCTGTTTCTTATTGCTGACTTATTCGAAAGGTCTTTCGGCAGTATCTCTTGTATGTTGCGTTGCCTCTTTGCCCTCTATTTTCAGGTTAGAGGATTTCTAATTCCTGTTCAAATCTCTATCTCGCCGGTCATTTTGCACCTATCTCTTTGTTTTCTAGTTTCAAGCGATGACATCTTCGAATCCACCTCCTCTCTGTCTTGCATTTTCTCTATTTATCTCTCCTAATCTTCCTAGTACCTCCTCTCACGATTTCCTCAGCCGCTACGCTTGTTTGCAACGTCATCGAGTTACCTCTGAATAAGTTTCGTCTGCTCCGGCTGACGCGGAGGCCGCAGGGGATGGTAGGAGGGCAGCAAGCGAAGGCGCTGCTCATGGCTTGTCTAGGTGGGAGGTCGACGCCTCATGTGCATCTCCATGTTCGGAGCATTTTTATCAGCCTGTAAGGGGAGGAGGAGGGAAGAAGCGGAGGAAGCGGAGGAAGGGAGAGAAGGAAGGAGGGAGGAATCGTTGGTTTGCTTGGCAATGATCCCATTGAGCAGTCTTCACCTTTCCCTCCGGTCCTGTCTTCTTCTTCTCGCCTTGGGGGCCTTTCCTCTGCTGGCCCTGTCCCACCTATAGCAAGGAAGCTGCAAAGCTCCCACGGGCATCGGTGACACAAAGAGCAGGTGGCAACAGCAGGCGGAGCATGCGGCAGCTCGTTTGAGGCCATTGCATGTAGAGGAAGCAGCGGTCAGACGATCAGCATCGACGAGATTCGTCTGTGGCTTGCTCGAGCAAAGCAGGATGATGAAGAGCAGAAGGCTGCTGCCGCTCGTTATTTCTCCGATCACAGTCGTCTCTTTTACAGCAGGAGATGTATCTGCCGGCCTTGCATACAAGTCTGGTGCTCGTGCACTCTTGCTCTTGCTCACTGAGCACAGGCGATCTCTTGCAGCTGCTCTGCCCCTGTCGAGATTTCGGCTTGCTCGCAGATGAGTAAGTTGGTGTGCGGGAGGGAAACCAACATGTCTGGTACCCGATGTTACGTCGAGGAGGTGAAGAAAAAGATCGCTAAGCACTCTTACTGATAGCGATGGCAGGCTATTTCGGCTCTATGCGGGGGAGGAGCATGCGAGATGAACGTAGACTGGAGATTACTTCAATGTTCGCGGGGAAGATATCAGTACAGGTCATCTCCTCCTCCTCCCCCTCCTCCCCCTCCCCCTCCTCCCCCTCCTCCTCCTCCTCCTCCTCCTCCTCCTCCTCCTCCTCACTCCTTGCCAGTTATGCCAACTTCTCCAAGCATGTCTCCACCTGCATAGGTGGACAGAATGATGCCAAGCCCTGCAAGTCCAACAGTTACTGTGCCGGAGGGTTTTGTGATTTTTACTGTCCCATCTCAGAAGGGTCGGAGGATGCGTATGCTTCTCGCTTCCATGCCTCCGCCGTCCCTGACGAGTTGTCGATGACAGCAGCTCGAGCCCATGCTGGCTCTGCCCGGAATCCATGGTTGGAGGTCTTGTGAACCCGACCCTTGCGAAGGTTTTCGCTCTCCTCTCCTCTACTCTACTCTCCTAAGCCCTGAATTGTTGAGGATGCTGTTGCCTCTCTAACAATCTCGCAGAGGAGCTGGGAACAGCTTTCTCTCTGCAAGGAATGTTTCCGAAACTCTCCGAGCTGCGTCTGTTCACGGCGATGCAACATGACTTCCTATTGATCACTGTCTTGAGCCTGTATGTCTTTCTCGTCTCTTTTCCTCTCCAATGTATTATACATATGCTACATGTTGGTGTTCGAGTGAAGTTTTCAAGGCCATTAGCGATGGCTAGTATTTCCGTGGGTGCGACCGTGGGAGGATGGAGGAGGTAACGGTCGGTTAACCAGAAACAGAGAGCTGCCAGGCTTGATCTTGTGCTCCTCCAAGGTACGTCCCAACTCAACATCGACCCCTCCGATGAGCAATTGATGGGAGGAGGGAAATTCGGTCTGCAAACAAAGTAACGCTGCTGCAAAGCACAGCAAAGGTTGTCACCAGTCGCCAATCTCTTCTCGCTTTTGCGATGACTTTGGAGAGAAGGATTCCAGTCGTCTCTGACTTGCACACGTCCACGGTGATGGTCAAAACAGCCAGATTCCCCGGATTGAACCCAACTTGGCAGATGCTCTTCACCAACACTTGACCTTCTCCCTTTTCGTTCCACTCGTTTGTGATCGGATATTCATCACTATGCAGCTTTGTGCCAATCAACAGCAAAATCTTTGAAGGGAAAAGATTGGCGAAAGTGCACAGAAGATTTTCTGTTACCTCATTCTCGCAAACGATGTCGAGATCGTTTGTGCTTCTCATCAGCTTCTTCTTGTGAATCAATCGTTGCTTCTCTGCAGGAATTCCAGTTGTTTCATGGACCTGAGCAGTAACACAACGCTATCACTCATTGCAGGATTGATTTCAAGGATGTTTTGTACCTTTGTTCTTAGACTTTGCAAGGAGCCACTTGCGAACTCAATAGGTATCTTTCTTCCTTCAAATTTAATGTAGACATGCATTTCCTGAACAAAATAGACATTAATCAACTATTTCAAGCAAGATTAAGTCCAAGAGGGATAAAGATGGTATTATCTAACTCGGGCATCTGAAATCCAGAATATGTATAAATGAAAACTGACCATACTTGGAGGTTCGTGAGACAGAGAACCTCTGCTGAAAAAGCTACACCATTCAGATCCATATTGTCTAATATTCTTTGGTTTGGATTGGCGAAAAGATATTTCGGCCTGAACAAAAAAGACAGACGCAAGGATTTGTTCGCTGCAAAGGAAAATGATGAAATGGAAGAATGAAAATGTGAACTCAGATAAATTTTGATCACACACTGCATGACATATGTTGATGCTCTGTATGATCTGTTTGCATTCTTCTTGTGTAGTTTTGCGTTCAATTCCTCTGTTCGCCATCGCTCGGTGCAGTATATGCCCTGACCTACCACCCCCTTCAGTTTCCTTCAACAAATTAAATACCCCTCTGGCGTTAACACCACCGGTACTTTATCCTCATTTGCCAGTTTTATTTTCTTCTGCGTTTGAACACTGGTGTTTACCCCTACCCCCTGATGTATACCCCTGTGTGTCACTACCCTACCCACTTGCAGTAAAGTTCTCCCGCCAAAGATACGCCGAGAACCATTGAATATCGAAGAGGGGGCCACCTGTACCCCTGGTCACAGCCTAGTTGCCTCCTGCATGGGTCCGGGTAGGGTGGTCAGCGAGACTGATAGGTGGGGTACTCGAGGAGTCGCTTAGCCGAGGCTGTACGCGGAGGGATGGGGGCCAGGATGCCCGGGGCAATCAATTTCGGTATGCGGAGGGATGGGGGCAATCAATTTCGGTATGCGGAGAGATGGGGGCAATCAATTTCGGTATGCGGAGGGATGGGGGCAATCAATTTCGGTATGCGGAGAGATGGGGGCAATCAATTTCGGGATGCGGAGGGATGGGGGCAATCAATTTCGGTATGGCGCCGGGCCAGTTGTGCGGAGGGCGGGGGCAATCATTTTCACACTTGTCGGTCACAAGTTTCTTACTATTTTTTACTCAAAGTTAACTAAAAGTATCGAGTCGCCGAGTCGTCGGACGGTCCGGGTTGGCAGGGGGCATATCACTGATTCACTGAGGCCGGGCATTTAAGTTCCGAGTTCGGACCTCAGGACATGCGGAGCGGGCGGGCCATTACGTGCGGGGCCCCGGCCCGGCTCGCCAACCTGAGGTTCCCGGCCGCCGGTTCACTGAACGGTTCGCGGGCCGACTCAGCGAGTATGGGCCGCACGGCGCCCCGGGCCACCGTGACTCAGCCTTGCCGGGGCCGGCGGATGGCCCGGGCCCCGGCAGCCTGGCGGCGCGGCCAGCCTCAGTCCGTGACTGCCGGGCCAGTGCCAGGCTCGGAGTCACTGTCAGAGTCCGGCCCGGCCTCGGACGGGCTCCAGTCACGGTGCCGGCCCGAATGAAATGCGCCTTGTGACTCAGGGCATGATCACGCCGCCGCCGATCGTCGTGAATTTACAAGTTCAAATTCAAAAAGTATACAGTGATGATTATCAACAGATAGTTTAAATTCAACAGTCCACCAATGACAGTCCACCAATGACTTGGTATATTGTTCAACACGTTACATGCCCATTTGTACCACTGGAAGACTTTAGATTCAAGTAAACCCCACAGAAATCAGACTTCCCAACGAATAAACGACTCCCTATTTCCCTGCAGCAAAGCTGGGTTACTATCTACAGTCTCTGATCCATAAAGACGAATCAAAACCTGAAACGGAATCCCAAGATAAGTCAGTGCGCTCTCACGGCCTACGTAAATTGAATGAGACAATCGGAAAGGAGTTTCGTGCGAATCACTTTGAAAGCATTTTCCATCTGGCGCAGTATATAGCCTGCGGAGACTTGTGATTATCAACAAACTTTATCATGCATCGGGCTCACCTTTGGAATGGATATGACCCAATGCCCTTCGCATCATGCACAATGATGATCGACCAACCCATTTCCTGTGTAGTGGAGAAAAGAGGTAAGAGAGGGTCGACACCAAGGTTTAAGAAGAGAGAAGCAAAATCTGATTTACAAGAAGGCTTCCTCAAAAACTCCTCTTACCTTTAGCAGAGTGTCAGTAGCGTCAGAATCCAGTGTTCGCTGTTCCCGCAAATCCTGTCCCGTAATTTAGGATAATGATCAACGTTTTTTTTTCTTTGAGTGCATGCACATAACAAGTGAAAAAAGAATCAAAATGAGGTGTTGATCGTTGCACACAGAGACTTTCAGTCTTGAGAGCTGCTTTGTCTAACACCTGATGTGTTTTTTTGCTGGCTGAGTGATCATAGACTTTCAATCTGCTAGGCTGTAATAATCGTGTGAGTCTCGTCAAACAAACATACGGTGTGATCAAGCATTGACCTGATCTGTGTTTTCTGGCTCAGAAAACTCTGATTGGTATGTAGAAAGATCGTGTGAACTTCTTGTCTCTTTGCCGCTTTGTCCTTCCGAAAATCTAAGATCGTCGGAGCTCATGGAATAAAATCCGGAATGTGCCGGAGACCGCGAGAGAAGGCTGGACGTTGATGGCACTCGATTCTGAGCAAGCAAAATAAGCAGACGCGTAAGGGTTTGGAAAAAAGACTTCTTGACTTACCTTCGCATGGTTTGCTGAAAGGCAGTCAACACAACCTAGAGCTTCCACGCCCATTTTCGAACCTTGCTTTGATGTTTCTGCTCCCATGACTTCCTCAGGAATCTTTTATTTCACGGACTGATATTGCTGTAATTCTTAGCTTTGGAGTAGAAAACGAAAGGGCCCGTTTTTACAAGTTGAAATTCCGTTCAGTCGTAATGCAGCCAATCAAGGGGTTGAAGCATTATCTTCTCGTTCCGCCTCGTCATTCCCGCAACATTCTTACAAATTTTGCGTGCACTGCCTGAGCATCACGATGCTATCCAGAGAACTTCATGTTCGCTGCATACATTGCCCTCCTGTTCCCTGCGGCATCAATGAGCTGAATGCAATGGCTGAATGTTGGGGAGGGGTAGTAGTTAGCTTCGATGTTGAGGGGGGTGGGGTAATAGGGTAGTAGGGGGTGCAATTTCAAAAACCAGAATTGTACCCCCCGCCCCACGAAGTGTACCTTGCCACCCATCACACCACCCTGAATCATAATCAGTACCCGACCCGTCTTTGATTTCAGGATCTCAGTACCCCACCCATTCAGAGTGGAGCTTTTGACTTCAATTCTGACCCCCTCATTAACACCCCTACCCCCTCAAATGATGGGATTTACCCTTCCCCATGGACGCCAGGGTAACATCACCAAAACAATGAGCAGGCGATTGTTGACATAAATGGAGGGGTACTCTCACACAAGAGGGGACCCTTCGATGTCCACACTACCCTACCGTCCCATTCAATCACCCCACCATAAGAATCATACAACTGAGATTTTATCTTTAATAATTTTTTAAAATAAATTTATTCAATGTTTAGTCAAGTATAGAAATTTATAACACTTTTGGTGACAGAATGATGGTACAAGAACGGTGCTCTGGTAGCGGGATTCGGCAGCCGTGTAGCTAGACGCCCCGGGCCTTTTGAAATAATTCGTACTGACATGGTTCTTATAACTGTCTTTTAAAATTTCCGTTATCCAGACGTTATATTCCGTTGCATCTAGCAAAAATGCGAAGCGCCGTGATTCGAGTGGAATGCGTGGATGATAGAGAACACCACGTTTGTTCATGAATCCTGTTGCCATTGACGTGTCAAAACGTTCATATGACTAGGTTAAGCAAGTGTGACAAACTCACTCGAAGAGTCAGAGGTATGAAAGGAGATTGGATTTAAAGTTGTATGAGGGACATCAGAACAGTTGTCAATCTTCGGTTGAGTGAGAAGTGCGAACATGGTCAGCAAATGATTCGAAGTAGTTTTATATTTATATCAATCAGATGATTTCTATCCTATATTTTAGGGTGCCTTGATTTCCTTCTCGATTGAAAATCCACTCTCGGTATCTTTTGAAGTTGTTGAGCTTGTTTCCTCTCTTGGGACGGGGTGACCTTTTTGCTTTGTTCGAGTACGACAGTGATGATTAAATGCAGGGCTCAGATACGAGGCTGGGGCCTAAAATGTACTTTACCCTAATTCCTCCTGCGTACCCTTACGCCCCTGCTTTACCGCCACCAAATGAGTATTATCCCTCGTACATGGCTTCAGGATCTTTTGTCACAGAACCTGCGGGTGCAGCAGCAGGAGCGTACGATCCTTATTATTATATGCAACCAATTGGTTGATGCGCACGTCTTGGACCAGATTGAAGCAGTGCAACGGATACTGTAGTCCAAGCTCCCTTTTTCGAACATCACTTTGTCGCAAAAGCTTATAAGTCGCAGTCACACAAACAAAACAGCTTTAATTGTTCCATTTTGGGGAATAAGAGGTTGTGGACGACATTGTAAGAAATATAAATCAACCGATTGGACACTTCTTGTTTGATTTAACCTGTGAATGTCGGTCATCCGAAATAGAAAGTACGGCAGTACATCACCTTGATGGGGCCAGCACTTGTCATGAATGGCTTGCCCTACGATCAAATAAATCAACGAATTAATGGAGCGAGATGTCAGGACAAGTAGTCACCTGCCAGCAAGCAACACAATCGTCATTTGTTTGTAGATCTGGCAAAACAGCCTGCGGAATGCAGTTCAGTATGAGGTCATTGCGACATGGAGTAGTGTACCTGCAAAACTTTCTTCTTTTGGACCTGATTAGGATTGAATGGCTCTCCTGTCAATCCTTCTATGAAAATCCTCTCTCCAACCTAGAAAAAGTTGACATGAGTTTGGAACATCAAAACCAATTTCTGCAACCTTTGCATCATGGGGAGGATCTAGTAACTCAACCTTCCCATCAGGACTGGTGCTTGCCATCACCATACCTGATTTCAAAGGTGATTAGTTTCTTCGCTGTAGAAAGGCACGACAAGATCGAACCTTGCGATTCGAATCCAGCCATTTTTGCTGCCTTTAGGTTTGTAACGACTACAACTTTCCTCCCCGGACCTTATAGTTTCTGATCAGAAATATAGGGTATTCCAGTGTCAAAATGCGTACAGAATTCCTCAAGAGAAAAATGATGCCTGAGCCCTGACGCAACCTGACGCTGTGCCTCCTGTACAAAATGGGTTGGTCAAAGAAATAAAGAAAATAACAGCTGTGAAACCTCGCCAACATCTATTTCTTCGCAGTAAAGCTTTTCGGAATCTGGATGAAACCATGTCTTGGTGAGAACTCCAACTTTGAGCTCAAGCTTGGTGAATTCAGGCTGGATTTTGTGTACTTCAATGATAATTCGTACAAGTGAAATAATCTCACCTGCTCGCCTTCTGAAGCAGGTGCGGCCTTCGTGTCCCCAGCAGCTTTCGGCTCTTTGTTTTGCTTCTCAGCTTTGTTCTTCTTTTCATCAGGTTTGCTGTCTGTCTTTTTGTTTTCGATGCCTTTCTCTGTTCTCTTCTCATCCTTTACTTTGTCAGGTTGTTTAGCTTGTTCCTAACAACTCAATTAGCCGCGAACGACGTTACGATCACCTCACACCTTCTCGACCTTCTTCTTCTTCTCATCCTTCATGGCGCAATTATTCTTGGACGATACCCCCAGGAAAGCCTCAAGCTCCTCGATCATACCGTCAACCATCGCAACACTACGATCTAGCATGTTGCACGCGTACGTCACACTGTCCGCCTCTCCGGGCCGCCCGGCAACCGCCCCCGGGCCGGCCGATGACTCGAACCTCAGTAACGGCCCGGCCAGATGACCCGGGCGCCAAGTTTAGTTGAGCCGGAGACTGAACTAAGCTTTTAAAACTTGTGGCTATTATTGTTTCCTCCTGCGCGGACTTACTCTGAGTAGGAATCATACTTTATATAATTTTAGTATTGTACCAAGAGCAGCTTTAAATAATGCATAAAATGTTCTGTCGATCCGGATTGGTACCTGTCTCTTGACTCTTGGCTCTTCGGTTACCCCATGGGGTAGGTAGTATGTGGGATAAAGGGGGTGGGGGGGTACGAGATTGAGATGGTATAAAACCAAGAGCCGCGTCTCTTCGCACGGGAAATGTTCTTCCAAAAGGTAAGATGGCAGCGGATTGCGACTTGTTTGAGGAGCGACTGTAAATAATATGTTGAAAGAAGGGGAGATATTAATGCAGAGCATGATTGTGGCATTTGTTTCACTACTTGATTATGGGCCGTCACTCTTAGAAGTCTTGCTATGTGTGTTGACATGATGGGTTAGCTGGTTTTTCATGGAGTATTCTGTTGCTGCAGTGATGATCGTTGATAGTATCTTGTGCATTTAAACTCAAACAAGATGTTCAAATCATTTCTTGTGCTTTTTTTTTTTGCTTTGTGTTCCATTTCATCTGGGTGTCTGTTGATGCCATTATTTGTACCTGCCTTGAAATGTGGTCATCCAGTGAGTAGTGTTGTATTCAGTACATCTCTCGTTCTTTGAAATTGATCGATCTTGTTGACTGATGAAAAAGAAAATTGAACTTGGATCGGGTTGGCATGTATTCAACTTCATCGCATCTACGAAATCCAACAATGACATGTGCTGCAGCTTATGGGAGTGGAGGCCTTCTTGGCCCACCACCACGCCGGTGACGTCGGTCCTCCTCCTGCCTGGGGTGGCATCGCTGATGATGGTCCTGATGCCCCCTGCGCTGTTGCTGGCATGTTCGGCTGCGCCCCGATGAACTCCACCTACGACTACTGGAAGAACGGCGTTCCTTGGGAGGGTCCCCCAGTTGTGTTCCACTAGATGGTGAAGATTATTATTGCGAAGACTCGGCTCTAGGATTAAATTCATTCACTGAATCCTTGTGGATTAATGGATTGATTATTCCTTCATTCATCTTGCATCGTGTTCGCATCTTGGACTGATTCCTCGTCCTCGTCCTCGTCCTCGTCCTCGTCCTCATCGCTCTTGAATGCTTTAGCAACTGCGTCCTCTTCTGCTTCAATCGGCTTCTTGTATGCCTCACGGAAGTAATCCTCGTCCACACCCGGAAATGGAGGAATGAGAGGTGCCTGTGGCAGTCTGAGTAGAAGCCAGCGAGCAATCACAAACCTCACAAGTCTCGGATCTCTCTCCAGGTAAGTCTTAGCACGAAGAGCCTGCGCAGTCATTAGGGAGAGGAGGAGGGGGGAGGGGGCGCGGGAAGGAAGTAAAGAAGACAAGGATCTCACATATCGGATCTCCTTCTCTGGGTCAACCTCGTAGTGTCCGATATCGCCAGGTACAGGAGGCCCCGGGGTTGGGAGAAAGATGCTGTTGGAGGATGAGAGCGAGCAACACAGAGGGGGGCGATAATCTTACTTGTAGACGATGCTCCTCTGCTCCTGCTCCTGCTGAGTGACGTTGCGCTCAATTTCCTCCTTGATCCTCTCGAACTCCGGGTACTCCGCCATTCTGCTCTCAGTCAAAAGAGCAGCAGGAACAGACAGAAAAACGAACATGTGCTGATCGATTTCATCCTCCGTCATGTCAAACGACATGATCTTCAAGAAATCTGGATGCTTTTCCAGGAACTTTTCCCATCTTGGCTGCGAGGGGCCTTCAGGGTCGACAGGATGGCGGCAACAGAGGGATAGGAGAAACAATCAACAAGAAAAGAAACAAGAAAAGAAAGGGATCTTAGAGGCAGCAACACGTGAAGTTGAGGAGGAGAAGAGATTGTAGGGGAAGAGGTTATGGGGAAACAAAAAGAGAAGGAGCAGGATTACCTTAGCAAGCGGGTGCGCACGAATTCTACTCATATCCTGCAATGTTGTGAGATGAACAAAAGCCAAGGAGGCGGGAAGCAGGAACCAGGATGAGCTGCAGAAACTTGTCGTACCACGCTTCCACTTTGTGGATGTAGGTCGCTTTGAACCCAACCTGGAAGAGGGAGACATGACGGAGAACAAAACAATCGCGGGATCACAAACTACAAACCCTCACATTGCAGTCCTGCTCCTCCAAACGGGGAGGCCGATCGTCGGAGTGCCACAGTTGACAATCAGACAACCACTCGTACTCTTGGAATTCAGTGTCGTTGACCAACATCTCTTGCACTCCCCGCGACACGCTCACTTGACGAGCTGAGAGGAAACAATCCTGCGACAGGTGAGTGCTGGACGGAGAGGGAGGAGGTTCTACCTTCCTATCCTCGTAGACTTCAAACGCGGCATCCATCTCGTGAAAGGAGGAGGAAGAAACCGAAACTTGTGCAAAGTCCCCGAGGATGATTCCGATTCCTGCAGTGCACACCTCACAAGCAGCGCAAGAATGCCAACCAGTTACCGCATTGAAGGAATAGGGAGGATCGGACTCTTGCCTTGCTCCTCTGTGATGGACGTAAGAGATCAGGATGGAATGAAAGGGTGGAAAGGAGAAGAGCAGGTGGTGGTTGTGGCGGAGGCGCAAGCAGGTGCTGCTTACATCGAAGCACGAGAGTACTGTGCCAGACGTTGATGCCAGGGTCACCTCTTGGCGACCCCCCATCACCTCGAAGTGAGGCGTGACCTGCTCTTCGACGATCCCGATGAAGCGAAAAGTGCAGAAATCTGCAGCAAAAACAGCCTGATAAAACATCTCTGATAAGAAGGACCCAACTCACAAAAGCAGGAGGGGGGAAGAGAAGAGAAATAGAGGAGGGGACCAGCAACAGATACACATGCTCACATCCTCTCGGCAAACTACTCCATCCTCCATCGGCTTGTCTGAACCTTCCCCCCTCACAGAGCAGTGAACCATGCTCGCCCTCCCCTTGCGGACGACGATCATGGCGATGGCTGCGGGTGCTCGAAGTTCACAGGAGGAGAAGACCCACGGGCCTCCCTCCACACAGAACAAGCTGCAGACAGCATGAGAAGAAGTAGAAGGAGGAGGATGAGGAGGAGGAAATCATCGACTCTCACGTGTCATCTGCCTGGGTGGCTACGAGGTGAAAGTCGAGGGAGCTTAACATCCCTCTCGTCGCCATGTTCAACTCCCACCTGCCGACGAGCTGCACGCGCTCGGAAAGCTGCAGGTCTGCATGCTCGAGGAAGAGAAACCTGTTGAGCTCGCTCCTGACGCAAGAGAGGTACCGAGCTTGACCACTCGTCGGCTTGTACCGCAGCCTTCGCTTCAGACGAACACGGCAGGTTGAGTCCAGCTGGTACTTGTGGGGTGAGATGCGGAAGACTGAAGCGTTGCTGTGAGACAAGTCAGTCGGGAGAGCAACCTCTTGTACCTCGACCTCGCAGCCTTGATCGCTCGTCGGAGATGCGCTCCTCCCGCCACGTTCCCCTCACTACCTAGCGCGTCATGCGGCTGCCAGCTCACGATCTCTTGGCAAAGGTTCCTCTGATGCAGCATGTCGATGAAGGTCATCCATGCACACTGAACGTCAAGCCCGTCTTGCTCGCTGTGAGGAGCTGCTTCCATGCTGCCTTCCTGCTCCTCCTCGGGCTGGGCAGAGGCGATGAACACATCCCCTTGCGGCGGTTTCGATTCGGAAAGGAAGCTGAAAGCAAGAGTCAGTTCCGAGGCGACAAGAGAGGCAGCGAGTCACATGTCTGCTGCTCCTCCTTCCTCCTTGTCGCTCTGTAACGTCCGCTCCTCAAAGTTCCACCAGTCGGTTTCATCTTGACCCCCACGGAGCCGCACCTCAACGAGCACGGGCAAGCGAAGGACCGGAGGATGCAACTTTGCTGTTCTCTGAGCTATGAAGAGGACATGGACAAGCGAGCATGTCGACAGGAACAGGAGCAAAACCTTCACCATGTGCAGCTCACACGACTATTGGCTGGCATTCTGCTCTAATTTCTAGAATTTCAAAGATTGAGTTCGAATTCGCTCCATTCCCGTCTCCTCCTCCTCATCCTCCCCCTCTCTTCTTCATATCTACCATGCATGCTCCTCGCCTCTCGTTACTCCTCCACCTCCACCTCCACCTCCTCCACCTCCTCCTCCTGTTCCATCGACTGCTCGGAGTAGCTTCGCCACAGTCGTTGGCGCCATGGATCCCCGGCCCTCATACCGTACACGAGGCGGAGAAAAAGAAAACGAGCGATGCGAGGGGCGAGGAGAGGGGAGGAGGGGGAGGGGGAGGACGGAGAGAAGAGAAGAACAGAGAAACCTTGACGAAGAGGAGATGTGGAGCCAAGGTGGAGATGGAGGAGAACGTTGTCAATCGTCAAGAGGTGTAAACATGAGAGAGGCCTATCACCATACAGGATAGGAAAGGTTGAGGACACAAGGTAGAGAAATGATCAGCCAAAATCCAAGTGTGCGCAAACGACTGTAGGGAGTGGAGAAGTGAAGGAGCGCAAGACGCTAGCAAGATAAGCTTGAGACTGACTGCTGGCCTTCAGTTGCCATGGCGGACGTGAACGAAGACGAGCCAAACTCAGCAGCGAGACTGCAGGAGGAGACCTCATTGCCCGTTGCCGAGGAGCGACAGGACGGAATGGGCAGAGACGCCTCAAATGCACTGAGTGAGAGAGAGAGCATACAAGATGTAGAGGAGGACAAGGAGGTGAAGGACAAGGAGGCGGAGGAGGAGGAGGAGGAAGCCAAGCAAGCAAAGGAAGGGGAGGAGGAGAAGGAAGGGGAGGAGGAGAAGGAAGGGGAGGAGGGTGGTAAAGAGGAGATGAGGAAGGAGGGGCAGGAAGGGAACGAAGATTCCGGGGACGTCAAGGATGATGAGGCGATGCAAGTAGATCGCCCGGACGATGATGCAGTGGAGAAGAACGACGACAAGGAGGATAAGATGGAAGAGGACAGTGACAACAACAAGGGAGGGGCCAGCGACTCAGAGGAAGGCAACGATGCTGATCCGGAGGCGAAGGAGAGCGGAGCCCTTGCAATGAGGAACAAGCTACATAAGATCGTAGACGCGAAGGATGTTGACCTGGCGAGCGCCTACAACATCCTGGACGCCCTACAGAACATGTGGGACTCGGTCAGCGTGAGGGACATCGTGATCGGAGAGTACAAGAGCTTGGTGAGAAGAGAAGAATGTGGGGGAAGCGCGAGTATGGCAGCAGAACAGTTCGAAAGGGAAGATACAAGCAAGAATTTAGAGAAGAGGAGGAGGAGCAAATGGAACCAAGGAAGAGGAGGAGGATCGAAACTAACGTGCAGCACAGGGAATGCTCGTGCGGCGCCTGAGGAAGCATGAGGACGAACAGATGCAGAAGAAAGCTGGGATCTTACACACACGCTATCACGAGAGGTCGAATTTCATGAGGAGGACGAGGAGGACGAGGAGGAGGGAGGGAGGGAATTGGTCGAGAGAGGCCTATTGACAAGTTGATAGGGTGACGACCGAGTATGAGGCGCTGATGGCGAAGATGAATTCGAAGAAGAGGAAGAGCAAACCAAAAGACACAGAGAGCAAGTGAGAGGGAGGAAGAGATGTGAGGGAGGGAGGGAGACAGGAAGGTTGAGGGACCCGGGGGGGGGAGGAGGGGGCAGGGGGCAAGGGGAGTGCGAGGGATCGAGGGATCGAGGGAGAAGGGGGGAAGGGGAGAGGGTGGGAAAGGAAGGAGGGAGAAGGGAGAGTGGGGGGGGAGGAGGAGGGAGTGAAAGAACTGAATGTTGGAATAGGAGAAAGAAGAAGAAGAGACCCGAAGATGACATCATCGACGATGGATCTGAGGTGATGATCCCTCTTACCTACTCGCCCCCCCCTTCCCTTTGTCTGTCTCCTTGTTCTTCTCCGTCTTTTCATGATCGTCGTGATTTTATCGTGAGCAGGAGGAAAGAAGTGAGACTAAGAAGCGCAAGAAGGTGAAGAATCACTCCTCACTCCCATTGTTATCATCCCTTCCCCTCTTCCCTTCCCATTCTTATCCTCGTCGTCTCGTCAGAGTGACTTCACAGCAGAGCAAGCGAAAGGAAAAGAGCAAAGAGAAAGATGAATCAGAAAAGAAGAGAAAAAGGAAGGACAAGGAGAGTAAGAAGAAACGTGAGCTACTTGCTACTTGTTCTACTTCTCTTCCTGCTCAAACTTCGCTTCCATCAGGCAAGAGGAAACAAAAAGAATCCTCTTCCGAAGAGGAGAAAGTCTCGGAGGAGGAAGAGGAAGAGGAAGAGGAGGTTGCCATCTTTGTATGTCTACATGTTCCATCGTGACATCTTGCAGCAAATTGAGAAACAGTCAGAGGATGAGAAAAGCGAGGAAGACGAAAAGAAGAAAGGGAAAGAGGATGAGGAGGAGGAGAAGGAAGAGGAGAAGGAGGACGAACAGAACGGCAAAGGAGATGTCGAAGAAGTGGAAGGGCAGTTGAAGGTTTGACTTGCAGAGGTACAGAAATGAATATTGACTAGCGAGCAGGCGAAGATCAAGCAATGCATCCGAGATCTCATTGTGGAAAAAGACGGAATCACAAATCTTACCCGCCGCATGTGCAAGGAGCGGGTAGGAAGAGGAAAGGCGGCAGTAGAGAAGAAAAGGATGGAGAGATGGAGGAAGGGAGGAGACTAGAAAGGGGCAAGGGGAGAGGGGAATGCATTCTCTAATCTTTTGCCTTCAGATCTCGAAGGAATTTGGACTTCAAGTCCTGGAGGACAACGTGGTGAGGGGGGGAGGAAGGAGGAGGCTGTAGAGAGGGGAGCGGGGAGGCAGACAAGGAAGGAAAAGGATGGTGGAGCAATCAAGGAGAGCAAGGACAGTTGTGGGAGAGGATCGACTAGAGAAATGAGAGGAAAGAGCGGGGTGAGAGAGAGAAGGAAGGCAGAATCTTTGACACAAGCTTGCAGGACATGATCAAACAATCTATCGAGGAAGTTCGAACTGAATTCATCGACCCTGAGGACGCTGCATGAGCTAGAAATAGGAGGAGCAGGAGGAGGGAGGACAAACAAACTTGTGCTTCTTCACTTTACAGAAATCAAACAAGTCATCAAGTTATAAAGAATGAACGTTGGAAACTGACACCCGTGATCATCCCGTCTATGTACACCCTCCTGCTCCTGCTCCTGCTCCTGCTCCTGCTCCTGCTCCTGCTCCTGCTCCCCCCTCCTCCTTATGATCAAGCGCAAGAATGTAACTCCTGCACACTCGATAATCCAGCCCGTTGCTGTCAAGCAGCTGCTTGTTGTATTCCCCGTCCACTGCAGAGCTCAACCCGGACACAGACTCTCTCCTCTCTAGCTCTTCAACGCACTTCCAGCCCTGCGGGATCACGACCTCTCCTTCAATCTTCTCCACCTCCGCCACGCTGTTTCTCCCCGCCCTCTTCCTGGTCTTGCATCGATCATCGCATACCTCCAGCAGCTCGTAAGCATCTGGCCCGATCGAGCTCATCCTCCGGAAGAGGTTCCACTGTGATCGAGGAGGACAACCGGGAAGGAGGGGCTGCTGTTTGTATCGGATGCTTCCCAGGCCTCGCAGGAACTTGTCGCTAACGTGCACGCAGTTCATCTTCGCGCTTGACTCGAGCGTGTCCACGTCCAGCATCGTCTGCCCGATGATGTGAAAGCGAGACTGCATCCTCCCGAGCAGCCCCGTAGCAACAACCCCGATGGAGACGCCGATCCTGCAGTTCACCTCCTTCCCCGTCCTCTTCCGGTACTCCGCCATTGACTCCAACATCAGGTGCGCCAGAGACAAGACGGTACTGCAGCGGCTTCTTGTGTCGTCCTGCAGGAACCAGTCGCGGTCGCAGGAGAGCCATCCAGCTACGATGTACGCGTCCCCCACCGTGTCCATCTTGTAGAGGCCGCGCTGCATGACGCCCCTATCGAAGGTCAGAAAGAGCTCGTGGACCATCGTCGCCATGTCCATGGCGCTCCTCTCCTGGGACATCTTGGTGAAGCTGCATAGGTCAAGCTGGAGGACGACGGCTCGCTGCATCAGGCACTGCATCTTAGCGGCACACCGGATCATGTGCTGCGCCACATTGGAAGGGATGAGGTCAACGAGGATCTGCTTCAGCCGTTGCAGCTCTGCCTCGTACAGCCTTGCCTGCCGCCAGTGCTCCTTCTCCGCGAAGCAGATCCTCCTCCCCAGCCAACTGATGGCCATGCAGGTCACCAGCACCTCGACGATGATCAGCCACTTTTCCCCCTGCTGCTTGTTCGTGAGGAGGATGAAAATGGCAGAGAGGAGGAAGGTGAGGAGGTTGATGGTGAAGATGTGAATGAAGCGAAAGCCCGTAATGATGGAGTTCATGCAGACGAAGAGACTTGGGAAGATGATGAGCCAACCCTCCGAGGGCAGGTAGAGCGAGGCGGTGAAAGACACCAGGAGGAAGACGAGCTTCATGCCTAGCACGTGCCACTGGTAGATCCTACAGACATGGATGCCCCGCCACATGTACAGCACCAGACCCGCAGACCACGCGATGGCGAAAAGAAGGTGTGCGGTGAGGAGGGCCCGGACGAGGTCTCTGCCTCTCTCCAGCACGATGTCACCGTATTCGGCATAATCATAAGACTGCTCGGGATAGTTGACAAATTGGAACCCACACATCACCGCGAGAAAGTGAATCAAGAGGCCGATGGTGATAGCGATCCTTTGACTTCTTGCGTTCTCCGTCAAAAACATCGCTTCTGTCTCCTCGTCCTTGAACTTCATTCGCAGCATGTCAATCTCGTAGTTGATTCCTCCGAAAAATGTCTGCTGCTCCCGGGATGTCGATTGAAAGCTCGAGCTCCTGCTGCGCGACGAGGACCCCAAGCTATCCATCCTGATAAGCGACCTCATGGTTGACCTCCTGCTTCGGTAGCTCTGCTGAGGAGTAGAAAGATGAGCTTCTGAGGACAATGCCATGCTAGAACGATGCAAATCCACATCATAGACGTCCAGCTCACCCTTCCCCTTGATGAGCATGCTTCCTTCGTGCCGGCAGATAACCTTGCTGGGCTGGAAAACGAGGATGGCAGAGGCAAAGTTCTCCGAGCACATGATCTGGTTCGGACGAGCAGCTTTACACATCCGAGCAGCAGTATTGGTCGTGTCTCCATAAACGCAGTAGAAGGCGCGATGTACGCCAATGACAGCCCCAGCTGCTGAACCAAAGCTGATCCCCACCCGCAGGCTCAGCTCCACTCCAGCTATGTTGAACCTCTTCGTGATACAAATCAGCTCCTTTCCCAGCTGGACCATGTCGTCGAAGTGAGAGGGCGGGTAGTTGGAAGCTTGGAGCTCCTCATCGAAGGGGCGGCAGGCACGAGGGCAGGTGATGATATACCAATCTCCGACATGCTGGTACTTGTACATGCCATACTTCTCAACTGTCGTGTCAAAAGCCTCAAAGATCTCGTCAAGCAGATCAAAAACCTCCAACGGGGGACGCGATTTGAGAACAACCTGCGGCTCCAAGGAGCAGAACATGATGCAGCACTGGGGAATGCTTACGCCGAGCATGGCGTCCCCTCGCTGAGCCGCTAGCTTGTTCAGCACGTTCTCGGGGATCAAAGTGCTCACAAGCTTTCTGCTCTGGTCTGTTGCATAACGAGTGCCTTCCATCATGACGTACTGCTCTTTGTCATTTGCTGTCTGGCATGCGCAGAAATATGCACTCGAGAGTCCGACGGAGAGCAAGAAAACCGCTGCAGTCACAATGGCAACGTCCCGGTGGCCTATCAAGAGGATGGAGATAGTGTGCAAAGATGAGTTAACAAACGCAACAATCAGCGCACTCTTTCCACTCATTCTGAGGATGATCGGCAGCACCAGGCAACCCAGGCAGAACCCATAGGACTCGCCACTGAGCATCGCGCCTTCGCATCCTATTGCGTTGAACATCGGCCAATCCTTGATAGTCTTGACCGGGTTCGTGTCGTTACATACCTGTACGGGCCAACCATGTACGTGTGTCATGCTCCACGAGATCTGAGGGGCGAAAGATGCTTGGAAGAGAACGAGCCTGAGCTCGAGGAGAATGGAATCGGAAATCAAGCAAGAAAAAACACACACCACCAACACAGACATGATCAAATTGTAAAATCTCGAGTAAACTCCTCTCAGGCATGTAAAACTTACTGTAATACCAACTGTTGATGTGAGGAAAAATCCAAACCAAAATGGCAATGAATTGTACATGGCCCATTTCATCCCTCCACCATAAAGTTCAGAAGAAAACATCTCGCCGAGCGCCGAGAGGAAAAACATGGGCGCCAAGACCATGCAGCATGACTTTGCTGGAAACGGATCAAAGGTCTCTTCACGAAAATTTCTATTCATTTCCTGTTTGTAAACGAGATTTTTCAGAGGAGATGTCGAGGTAGGAAAAATCAGGTTCTCGCCCACAACGGATTGATGTCCAAACATGCTCTTGAGTGCGCGACTTCGGAGACGAGACTTCAGACTCATGAACTTGGAATCAGACGGGGAAGCATTCTCATCTTCTGGAGAGCTGGAGATATAGATGGAAATGTGCTCCTTGCTCCCTCGCCGAGCATTAAGCTGAGCTTCTGAAGCCTTGGCAACATTTTCCTTTCGATGTTGCCTCCAGCCAACAAATTTCGCTGTTTCTTCAACCATTTTTAGATCTTCATACGGTTACATCAATCTGAATGTTCATTGCACAACTTTGAGGCCGCAATGAACTCCAACGTCTGAAAATGCCACAAGGGTACCACATGACAGGAAGTTAAACCTGCAACTTTGCAATCCACAGCTCCCTTCAGCTACAAATGCTGTGTTCAACAATAAAAGTCAAATGTTCTTCTTCTTCCATGTGCATTCAACCTATGCATGGAATGACTGTAAGCATCTCGCAGATGCTACGACAGAGCAGCCAAAATTCTACTAGTGATAGATTACGTCGTTGTGTAATCAGCTTTGTTTGGGTTGTAAGAACAACTCGCAGTGTGGTAGTAACTTGTGTTGTAGTAGTAGTAACTTGTGTTGTAGTAGTAGTAACTTGTGTTGTAGTAGTAACTTGTGTTGTAGTAGTATAACTTGTTCGTAGTAGTAACTTGAACTTGGGGCGTCTTGGCCGGAAAACCTCGAGATCCGTAGGTAGGGTGGGTGGGTCCTCTCGTATCCTCCTCGTTCTCCGAGAACGGGTACTTTGAAGAGTGAATTGATATAATGTGGGGTGGTAGGGTACTCTAAGACTGCCAATCACAACAGATATACATTCTTAGAGAGGGTAGGGGTTTATGGGGTGGTGAAGAAGGTGGGATAGAGTCAAACTGGGGGTGGGTGTTCAGTTTGTAGTCAAAAACCCACCACCGGTGGTGTAGAGAAACTCATAATTGCTGGGGTGGGGGTACACGATATCAATGTACGAGCGATCATAACCATGTGGGTGGGTATTGAGGTCGTAAGGGGGAAAATGAGGGGTACTGGAGAGAGTCGGAGAAGATGCGGCCAGTGATTTGAGGGCAGCAATTTGAAGTTTTGGTGAAATTTTTGAAGATACAGAGGTACCATGATTTGAAATCTATAGTCAAGTTGTAAAGTCATTGACCGGTGCTCGCATAATAAAATGCTTCAGTGGTAGAGAGGGGAATGGTGTTGAATGGTGGCGGTGGTGATGGTGATGGTGATGGTGATGATGATGGTGATGATGGTGATGATGATGACGATTACGACAATGCAGCGATGATCAACAACAACAACAACAACAACCATGGAGATGATGGAGATGATGGAGATGATGGAGATGGTGGTGATGATAATGGTGGTGATAAGGGTTAGGATAAGAGTGATTATTATGATGATGAAGATGAGGAAAGAGATAGTAGTGGTGGTGGTGGTGGTGAAGATATGATGACGACGATGGTGATGGTGATAATGGCTGTAATGGAGATGCTGCTGGTGCTGGTACTGATGGTTGCTGTTGTGGTGATGATGACGCTGCTGGTGGTGGTAAAGAGGGTGGTGATGCTGATGATGATGGAGATGACATTGATGCGGGCGGTGGTGATGTTGATGACGATGAATAGATGGTTATGTGGTGCGAGCGAAGTTTTGTGTTTAAAGCGCTGTAAGTACTTGTACGGTTGAGAAGATGATACGCGTGGCAACTTTCATGATGACGGATTGAATGATAGTTCAAAGGTGACAGGGTAATGTCAATGAAGATGATGAAGAGATGATGATAAGGATGATGATGATGATGATGATGATGATGTCAACGGCTGAGATTGAGTTGATGAGAGAGAAATTTTATCGACGATGTCGATAACGATGGCACACATATGACGATGATAATGCCGATGTACGGAATGGTGGTAATGGTGATGATCATTGCAATGATGATGGGGGGTAGGAGGGACGGGGGAGAGGGAGGGTTCCGGAAGGCCACGCGACGGGGCAAGGAAGAGACAGAACGAGATAACAGAGGATGACGAAAAGCAGGCAGAAAGCAGATAATATTCTACACGTTGGATACACATGATAAGCAATCGAAGGGAGAGTTGCATTATGGGCATGATCTTGATAGGAAAGGTTCTGAAGTATGTTCCAACGTTGTTAGAAATTTGTCATAGACCGAGATTGGTCACAATATTGCAGGTTGATTAGTAAAGATCTGTCTTGCTTGATTGATGTCGATCAGTCTTGCGTGATTGGTTCGATTCACCTAAAACCAAACGACAACGGATGAAACAATCGAGCTCCGCTATCTTGATTAGTTTTCATTAAACATAACATCTTTACGATACATCTTTACGATACATCTTTCTCTCTTCCCTCATCAAAAACAAGGATATAACTCAGCTTCATGTTGAACTCGCACGCTTGCACAGTGTCGTGCTTCTTGGCCTTTGTCTCGTGCTCGTTGACAGCGACGCATCGCCAAGGTTGGGGTAACGAAGGTTTTCCCTCGATGCCCTCCAGCCTCGACATCGTCTTCCATTTTCTTGCGATGACGTGAACAGACTGACGCCGGGAAGGGAACGAGTCAGTGCCCATCACTGCACAGATCGAGCTGGATCTGCTACAGTTGCTCTGTCTCTTGGAGGGCCGAACAGCAAGCATGGGCATCTCAGGAGAGACTTCGGGGTTCATGCATCGCATGCATTGCAAGAACTTGTCGCTGACGTGGACAGCGCCATGCCAGCAACTCTGCTCCAACAGCTCTGACTCGGTCAGCGCGTCCCCAATCATGTGAAACCTGGACTGGATCCTTCCGAGCACTCCTGTCGCCACGACCCCAGTGGAGATGCCGATCCTGCAGTTGACCGTCCTCCCTGTCCTACGGCGATAGTCGGCCATAGTGGTCAACATAACTCGCGCCAGTTGTAGCAGGTGTTGGCAGGTCACTTGCGTCTCTTTGCGCATGAGCCAGTCGGTCCTGTTGGGGAGCCATCCAGCAACTATGTAGGCGTCGCCTACTGTGTCCATCTTGAAGAGGCCCCATCGCCTGACCGCGTCGTCGAAGTGAGAGAACAAGTCGTGCACCATGTTTGCTAGCTCTAACGCGTCCATCGTCTGCGACATGCCCGTGAAGTTGCAGATGTCTAGCTGGAGCACAGCAGCTCTTTGCATGGCGCAAGGGATCTTCCCCGAGAACTGGAGCATCTCCATGGCCACATGTCTTGGGATGAGGTCGATCATCACCTCCTTGAGCCTCTTGAACTCAACCTCGAAGAGTTTGTCCAGACGCCATCGCTTCCGCTCAGCAAGATTCTTGATCCTCGAGAACACGATGGAGATGACAGCTACGAAGAAGATCTGGAGGATCGCTCGGAATCGGTACACCTTATGCGGGGCAAAGAACACCATGACCATGCTGAAGCATGCACAAATCGAACTTGAGAGCAAATTCTTGCGAAACGTTAACCCACAAACAGAAGAGTGAATGATTGAAAAAACTGCGGGAAATAAGATCAACCAATCGCCTACGTGATACCTCAGATTGACTAGACCTGATACCACGACAAAAAACATTTTCTGAATGACAACATTCCGCTGTAAATTTCGATATGCCAGCCTGCTGGTGAAAAGGAGGTATTGAAGAATGACGCTATGGATGAAAACAAAAATCAAATGTCCAGTCAGAACCCAGCGCGCACGTAGTTTTTGATACTCAAGATCTTGGTTTCCAAGAGCTGCAAAATCGTATTCGTAGTCCGGGAAATTCACCGCCTGCCATTGGCACAGCACTGCAAAGAAATGTACAGAGAGGCCTATGGAAACTATGAACGTGAACTTTTCAGTTGTGTCCTCGAAGAATTGAGATTCGGATTTTGGATGGACAAACTCCACCCAAAAGTTGCTCAGCCTGTAGGTGTTGCTTTTCAAAAGTTGTTTTCCCTCTGGGCTCAGATTTTCGTATTCAAATTCCAAACCTGCAGTAGTCAGACTTGCAGTCGATCTTGTATCCTCCATTCTCTGACTCTCTGCTCCACTGATCTGGTCGTCCATCACCACATGAGGGTCCCACACGACATTGAACACTGACATCAAACCTTTGCCCTTGACCTCCAGCTCACCGGATGACTCGCAGGTTATATAATCACAAGCTAGAGAGTAGATCGAATCAGCAAATTCCCTTGTGCACAATATTTGTCCCTCTTTCGCATACTTGCACATTCTGGCGGCTGTATTGACAGTGTCCCCATAAACACAGTAGAACGCCCGGTGAGACCCTATCACCGCACCCGCTGCAGACCCACAACTCACTCCAACCTTCAGCCCAAGGGCATACTGATCTATACGAAAGCTCCTGGTGGCTTCAATGAGCTCCCTTGCCATGTGCACCATCCCTTGGGTGTAGTGATGAGGATATTCTTCCTGCTGGAACTTTTCATCAAATGGTCGAGCAGCCCTTGGACATGTGACAATATACCAGTCACCTACATGCTGATATTTGTACATCCCATACTTCTCCACAATGTTGTCAAACACTTCAAAGATACCATCAAGGATCTGAAATGTCTGAACTGCACCCTTTGCCTTGATCCTGTCCTGCTGCACGAACGAACAGAATAGAATTGTGCAATGAGGTATCTTAACACCTAAAAGGCCACTATCATCATGAAAGGTCAGCTTTGACATCACGTTCTCGGGGATCAATGTGTACAACAACATCTTGCTCTGGCTGGAAGCATACTTGGTCTTTTTTGTGATGATGAATTGATGCTGTGAATCACGCAGATCTCTTTGGCACAAGTAGGCAGTTGATAATCCAGCAATCAGCTGGAATAATGTGCAGGTGAGTAAACTCCAGCTTACACTTCCCAGAAGGACAACTGCGATTATGAACACTGTCACATTCATGACACACAACAATAATGCAGGTCGGCCGGGGATGGTATAGATCAGTGGCTGAAGAATGAAAAGAATATAAAGACAAAACTTGTCTCCTCCAAGCAAGAGGTTTACGCAGCCGATACTGGTGAAGTGCGGCCACAATAACATTGTCGTTACAGGAGATTGGTCTGTGCAATTTCTATCCGGAGGGAAGTGAGAAAAGTCGATAACCCAGGAGATGTTCAGATGAAAAGACACTTCGAATTCAGAACGTCTTAGCTCGGTCATGAAATCTGATAATAAGAACCCCAAATACACGACAAAAAGAAATGCCACCACAAGGAAAGAATAATTTCGAATGCAAAACAAACGCAGTCGGGCCTGGGAAAAGATCAAGGCATAAGTCCCTGAATAGAAGGCGATGAGCAAGAAAGGCAACTCTTGCAAGAACTGCCATGCAAAACCTCCTCCTATGTTTTCCTTGATCAAAAATTTTAGAACAAAGAGCATGATGCCACCAAGCGCGGTGAAAACGCTCGCCATGAAAATAATGCGTGGTTGATAGTTTGCTTCCTGAAAATTACAATTATCGCACACATTCTCTGGAATGTTATTGGCCAGAGAGAGGAGAGATGGCTGTTGGATGTCCTTCATTGTCATCTTTCTCTCTTCGAATCCGCGTCCATGAAGCCAGTGTTTCTCCCCGGGCCGATGCAGTTCCGCAAGTGAATGGCTCCTTGGAAGCATTTTTTTCGGATCATTCACCTGATGATTTTGCTCTACTTGCATGTCGTGCTTGTTTGATCCTGTAAATATCACATCCCTTTCCTCTGCCCCTGCATTGCCATCCCCCGATCGCACTGTCATTTGTTCGCCATGGAGAACAAAATGAGTGTTTTTCGGCCGTCCGTACACCTGTGGTAGGGGTGGTTCTCAACGACTACTAAATGAGGGGTAGTTTATTAGAATTGAAGGGGTGGGGTACATGAGAGTAGCTGCAATCAGCTAATTCAAGGCGCACAGGCGCGCGTGAGTCGAGGGGGGTGGGGTGGTTTATCAACGCTAGTAAACATGGTCGGGTCCGTAAATCTGTGTGTGTAAATGACCGGTCATGGGTGAGGAAACAGGGGGTAGAGCTTCGATGTGTGTTGATTAGGGTGGGTCAGGTCGGAAGAAATAGAAGGGGTGACTTCTGCATGGATACAGGGTATCTTGATGAGGGGTACTTGAGAAGAGAAATGGGTAGGGGTACCAAAGAAGTTAAGATAATCCCCATAAATTGAAGATAAAGGCACCGGTGCAACAAGAAGACTGGGGGTAACTGGCTTCAAAGTTAATCCGACTGACAGGGGGGTTATGTCAGCAGGGGCGCAATGGCACGGGATTTCACTGTTACGACACTAGAAAGGGTGGGGTGATCAAGGGAGATTGGGGGGGTGATAAGAGGTTGCAAGGGAATTGGTCGGATATGATGGATTCAAGTTTTAGTCAAATCTTAAATTATTTTTGAATTTTATCTTCTTGAAATCATGCCTTATCGTTTCTTTACCACATGAACATAGTACCTTAGCTGCATGTGAACTGAAGAGATCGGAAGCATGAGATATGGCAGGCAATCAGATCCTGGCGGTAACAATCGCGCTTCCGATCCTCTGAATGCGCGAGAAAACGATGCCATGGTGAAAAACAAAGGATAAGATGTCTCAGAACGATGTTGCGAAGCATACCAAGCGCACATCAAATCTCAGAATATTGACTGATTTGATGCGGGTATAGTCCAGCAACTGAGCGATAGTGCACTTAGGAGTAGAACAGATGAACAATGAAGCTAGATTTGTTTATGTACAGCAGTAAGAGAACACACGTCAATGTTCGTGCAATCCCATTCCGATGACGTGGCCAACGTCTAAGATGGGTTGCTTATATGTCGAGGTCAGGCTTAACCCGTAATACAGCAATGAGTAAACATGTGTATCGGTTTATTGTTGAAGTTCCCAGTAACCTTCTCTCCACAGACGGTGACACAGTCACAGTAGCAGTGACACCCGAAGTAGACAGTGATAGCACCGACTGCAAGTTTCTGTAGCAGCGGTAATAGATATCACGAATGGTGGCCACGCAGGAATGATATCAGGATACAGAGAACAAACGGAGGAGATAAGAGATTGGTATAGATGGTCAAGCTTGTTTACTTCAAGCAACCCAGTCTCACAGAGACTGTACACCTCGTTCTCCTTTCCCTGTCCTGCCAATGCGTGCGGCCCTTCTTCCTCTTCCTCGGTCCCTAAAATAGGGGCTGCCCGGTCCTAGGAACTACCACTACCGGTACTCTACGCTTCTTATCTGCGATATGATTCTTCGACCGGTCCGAGGCCTGGTTCCGTACCTTGAGGGTCCCCTGAGAAAGAGTCATAGGCTTGACATGACGAGGTCTTCGATTCTCATCCAACGCTCTCTGTGAAGTTGATGTAGCTGCTCCCTTGACCTTGACAGGTCCTGTGTCTCCGTAGGAGCATGCTTGGAGGTGGTCTCGTGCATTCCTTGTATGTCCTCCGCTAAGATGATCATGATAGTACTGTCTTCTTTGATCAGACCCCTTGTTCTCCCATGTCCATGACTTCAGGGGTGATACTTCCAATCTCCCCTTGAGTGTAGCCATATCCTGCCACCGTGTCATCTGCTGTCCTGTCGTGGACTGATATAAGCTGGCTCGCTTATCTCCTGCTGCCATCCACGATTCCTAAGTTCTTGCTGTCTTCTTCATGATTCTCCTACGTCGTCCTTATTGTAGCTGTTGCTGTCCTCTCCAGGGATGCATTCCGAGGCTCTAAGCATCTGTGCACTTGAGCCACGTCGATTACTTGGCATTGTCTGAGGTGAAGCTTCCTCCTATCAGGTGCTTCAACACCCTCCCTTGGCTCTTGTGTGCCGATGCCAGCATTGTTGCTTTGCCGCGCCTGCTGCGGTTGACTCTTCGCGCGTCGTCGCCGCAGTATTTCCTCCCTTGCCTAGAGTAGGCGGGAGCTGTTGCTTGACAGCAAGGTGGACTCATGCTTGGTCTCTGGTCGTCTGCCTTGAAGCTGTATGGTTGCTCATCAGACTTGATATTCCTCTTTCCATAAGCGATCAGCCTCTTGACTTGACTTTCGCAGTAGGGCTGTGCATGGTACTGAAAGGTTCTCCTCAGCGCCCATCAGCACTGATGTGCCTGGCGACTTAGAACCTCCTTCATTTCTGCAGCATCATTTCATAACTTCGATCGAAGGTATGTCTTCATCGTCTGCTTCTTCGTCTTGCGAAGGCTTGGCGCTTCAAGCTGCCTTTCATTTCTTCAACTCTGCTGTAGAGTTGCTTCGTGAGATCATATCGCCATCGTGAGATCGTGGCATGCAATGAGGCTTCAATGGGACGTCTCCCTTCCTCGATCTTCACAACCTTCAAGCTTTCATCTGCCGTGCTCTAGGCTTGCCGCTTCAATCATCGCGGTGCTTGACCAGTGGAATCATGAGGTAATTCCTCTCCTCACTGGTTGGCCACGTACAGGCTTTGCCAGGTTGGATTGAAAACAGCTCTTGTCACTTTTGACATTCAGAGCGACTTTGATCAGGACTGATCCCTCCATCATCGAGATTTTCTCGCTGTCATGTCACCCCTCAGCTTCTTTGCCACACTCATCATCATGGTGGGAGAGCTATCTGGTGGCCTCGTCGTCATCTTGTGCGACTCTTGGCTCTGCTTGGGGGATCCCTGTGACTCGTCCATGTCACATGACATAGGTATGATGCGAGGCTCGATGCTGATGTCATCATCAGATGTTCTCAGAGGTTCAGCCTGTCATGAAGTTCAGTATTCAGGTATGATAGTGAAAAGATATGATATTCCCTGATTTTGATTGTTCATTTAGTGAACCCCTCCCTGACTGTCTCTGGTGTCGAACAGATGACCTCAGGCTGAAGTGGGTCCCCTGTGACTTCGCATCATCCATCTCCCTCCCTGACGAGGTACAGGGAGCTTGGCTAGCTTGACAAGGTCTTGCATGAAGCAGCGGCGTAATGATGGTCAAACGGAGACCTGAGACATGTCGTTGCCGAACAAGAACGATGCTAGCTGACGAATTTTGGAGACTGGGCAGATCTTGGTGAGAATGTCCGCAGGGTTGTATGTAGTAGCAATCTTCACAGCGATGATTTCGTTTTCATCCACCATCTGAAGAGTGAACCGATGTCGAATTGCAATATGCTTAAGCTTCGAAAATGCGCGACGGTCCCTCAGCAGATGGATGACCGCTGCATTATCAACGAGAATGATTGTTGGGTCACGCTGTACAAACCCCAGTTCGAGCAGGATGGATCGCAGCGTCCGTATCGCCTTCGCACAGTTGGAGCAACTGTACAACTCGGCTTCCGTACTCGATAAGCTGACGACCTTCTGCAGTTTGCTGGAGAAGTTAACTGGACCTCCGTTAAAAGAAATCACAATCCCTCCTTGAGAACGACGTGTAATTGGATCTGTTCCCCAGGTGGAATCACTCGCAGCTATCAGAGTGTTGTGATAATGCTGTTGATTGAAGAATGTACCCGATTGGGAGAACGTTAAGCTCTGTTCACGAGTGTTATAAACGTATTGAGTCAGATGGATTACGGCCTTGACGTCGCTAATCCGAGGCCGTTTGGCAAATCGGCTCAGCAGGCTGACCGCAAAACATATATCTGGCCTGGTCGCGGCGGTGAGGTACAGAAGTGAACCTAGCAGAGCTTGGTACAGTCGAATTTGCTTCTCATTCAACACCAGATCATCCTCTAGGTGGTAGGAGGAGACATAATCGTGTGGTAAGACGCTTCGCACTGACTTTTGAGGTATTTCGAATCGCTCAACAATCTGATGGATAAAATGTGTCTGGTTGAGCTCGACGGTGCCTTGAGCCAAGTCTTGTGTTATTTTGACTCCCAGGAATGTTCCAGTCGCCTGAGGGGACTCGGAAAATTCAAAATGGTCAGAGAGTTTGAGCAGGAATTCAGACAAGATTGCTTCTGACTGAGAAGCCAGCAAGATATCGTCAACGAAGATGGTCCCAATGATTCGATGACCACTGGCATTCTCGTAGACAAAAAGTACCTCGTCGACGCCGACTAGACGACATCCCATCTTCTTCAGAGTCTTCGTGAAACATTTGAACCAACTCCGCGGGCTGGTTGACAGGCCATACAGGCTCTTCTTCAGACGAAGTAGTCTTCCCCTTGGTAAGGCGAGCTGTTCTGGAGGTAACATGTAAATTTCCTCGTCGATATCTGCATTCAAAAACGCGGTCGAAATATCTCGCATCGTCAACAACCAGGCGTTTCCAGCGGCAATTGCACAAATGAGCCTAACGTTCTGGAAATCTGACGTTGGAGCATATACTGGACCATCAGTGGGAACTAGATTGCCCAGGATGACCAACCTCGCCTTAAATTTCGCAATCTCACCTTCAGTATTGTATTTCAAAGTATACACCCATTGGAATGGAGCGATCTTCGCCTTTCGGTTGCTGGGATAATCCACTTCTTCCCACACTCCCTTTTCCTTCATACTGTTGAGTTCTTTAAGCTCAGCTTGCAACCATTGGTGTCTTTCTGCGCTCAGCAACATTTGCTTTCTGGTCTTCGGAGCTTGGATTCTACCGGTAGTGTCGATCCTGCTGCTGGCCGAATTGTCTGCCGCACTTGTCTGCAATAATTGAACTGTATTTCCCTGAGCTTCTGAGACATCCATGAATTTACACATGTAGGCTATCAGCATTTTGCTGTGAGACGCTTGCTCCGGCCCGACGTTCGTCTGGTTACTGTCGTCCTCGGCAGGCTGAGATATGCCCCTTGCACAGAAGGAATAGGCCGCTTCTGCCGTCCGGGATTGATTAAACATTCCTGTTAAGGTCGATTGGCTTCCTGACCGTCTAGAACGGATCATTGTGACCAGATTCACGCGTTCAGATGTCAGACGTAGTTTCGGGTCCGTTGTAGGAACAATAATCCAATCATTGTCTGAATCGTCATATTTGATTTTCAAGTAAAATGCCCCGTTTCTGAACACAATCTGCGTTATCGTCGCCGCCCTTGTTCCATATGTTACTTTGCGGTTGACATACTGCCGTTCCATTAAGGTTCGATCCGATCGAAAATCGCTTCTTGTACGTTTTCTGCCGACTTCGCCGTCCTCGCTTCCCAGCACAGGTTCCCCAGCAGTTATCGATTGCTTCTGATCTGCGGACTGTTCAGGTTGCCAGTCTGCATCGTGTCCATCGTCTTCACTGGACTCTGCCATACTGCCATCCGAGGCTTCCGAGCTGGTTGCTCCATGATCATTCTGAGTTGAGCAATGTTCATCCACCTCGCGCAGTCCAACATACTCCTGTCCTGGGGGTAGATGCAGTCTACTGGTCCTTCTGAAATGAAAGAAGGTCTCATCAAATCTTGCTTGTCGCGTATGTATCACCTTGTTGGTAGCTGGATTGAATACCAAGTACCCTGGCTGGTAACCCATGTGAGCCTCTGAATTTCCCAGGTTAACAGCAGTAATAGCAGGCATATCATTCTTCAATTTCTCCTCGTTGGCAACAAATACCGTACATCCGAACACCTTCAGTTTATCATAGTCGAATTCTCGTCCCTGATAAAGTTGCCAGGGAGATAGGCCGTCCCGATTCGTCAGGTTGGGTAAACTGTTGAAGATCAGCGTTGCTTGTTGGACGGAGAAGTGCCAGAAGCGCTGCGGGACTTGTGCTTGGTACGAGATTGCTCGATGGATGGTAGTCACTGTTCGGATCGCCCTCTCTGCTCGACCGTTGGCAGCACTTGTGTAGTCCGGGGTAAAATTCCAGATGATCCCCTTCATCTTCACGAATGACTGCAACTGGAGGTTTGCAAACTCCGAGCCGTTGTCACTCACTACTGTTATGACTGCTGGTCGACCTGAGCGTTCTTCCTGCAAGATCAAACTCTGCATGACTTCCTTAGTTTCGCCTTTTGACGTCAATGGAATCGTTATAATAAATCCACTGTAGGCATCGACCACGACCAAGAAGTAACGAAATCTTCCTGGCTCCGAGACTGTCCCCATGTCTTTCAAATCCACATTCCACTGGCTATTAATCCTTTCGGCTCTTTCTTGTCGGTAGCCGCCTTGGGTTTTGATAGGTAGCTTTGAGAATTTGCTGGTTTGACAAACATGACAAGGACCTGCTGTGCGATGGGTTGGACTGTATGTCACTTTGTTGTTCCCTTTTGCCAAGCCCAAGTCTCCAGTGCCACAGAATGGTTGGAATTGGGTTGAATGGGGAGGCTGGAATGTCCTTGTTGCTCAAGGATTTCAGTGATACCTTGTCTTCTTCAGCAGTGGAGGGCTCTGCTGCACACTTTGTCAGTAGGGCCGCTGCCTCAGTATTACGGCTGCTTGACTGTGCTGCGATGACAAGTGAGTGTCGAGACTTATCAACTGCTGCTTTAAGCACATAGATTCCCTCCCAAAGGTGTACAGGTAACAGTAAGTTATCTGGCATACGAACCCAAGATCCAGTTGACTTCCCAGACAGTTCCACAGTTGTCTCTTCTCCAAGAAATTGACTCATTGAAAAGATGGTGAGCGGAGTCTCTGCACATACCATTGCTGTAAGTACGAATGTATGTGCGATAGTAACATTTCCATTGCTTGTAATTGCACATTGCACTCTCATTTCTCCTTCTTCCTCGCACGTAAATGTCTCCCCGCTGGCTGTGCTGACAACAGTGGCTTGTAGACTTTTACGCACATTCGTCAATAGAGATCTGTCACCGCAGAGACTGATATTAGCTCCGGTATCGAGTAACATATGGTGACAACCCGGTAAGTGTACGTTCAGGAACGCCTTAGCTCTGAGCAATTTTTCGATATCAAGACAGACGTGCACCCTGCGCATAACTCGTCGTACATGAATGTCACCTGATTGAAATGGATTATCTGTATCTGAGGCTTCCTGACAAGAATCCACTTCTTCTCGTTCGCCAAGCCTCTGGCTCACATTTCTTGTTCTCCTATCCGAGGTTGCTGGTGCCTGACCTATCAAGGCCACATCGTCCACCGCCGATCGACCATCTGTCAGGTACAGGACCCTCCTCTCATTTGCATGAGGAGCGGCTTGCCTCCGTGATACTTCTGTCCGGCTGGAATGATCAGGAGCAAGTCTCTCCATCAGTCGGTCTGTCAAAATATCGAGTTTTTCTTCCAGCAATGCAACACGACTGTTTTCATACATACGAGTCCCGGGATCGTGCCTCATGCCCCTAGTCGCATGTCCAGGCCCGTGTCCCCTCTGTCTCCTTCTTTGCCACGAATCTCCCGAGCTGCCCGCAGTGCCGCCTGCTGCTCGTCCTACAACCGAGTCCTCCTGCTCTTCGTCAGATTGCACCCGAGGCTGGTGATCATCACGGTGCGGGATCAGAGGGCCCGTCCAGTGCTCTCGTCGTCCTCTGCGACCTGGTTGCATCCGCCCTCGTCCCCCACGATTGGCTCCCTTCCCTCTTGGATTGAAGCGACCTCTCCCATCGTGTTGCCTGTATGATGGAGCTCCTTCGCAGCTGCCGTTGCCTTCTTCTCGCGTATGCAACGCTTGCTGTTCTTGCGATCTGCCGCGTGAGGGATTTCGCCATTGTCCTCGCCGATGAGTGTTACCATGAGCCTGCCAGGGAGAATGATCAGAGGCTTGTTGCTGATCATACCGGATCGGATTGCCATCCGGGAGTGACTGCGAGTCACGCCATCCTCCGCCGCGCGAGTCCGAACCACGATGTCTCCCATGCTGGAATCCTCGTCCCGGTACATCGTTATTCCTGCCATGTCGAGCACCACTTGATCCTGGCTCTGACGATGGATGATCGGAATGTTTGGTGGCCCCTGTTTGAGCATGGCCCAAGTTAGCTGTCTTATGATGACGCAGTGTAGGCCCTTCATACTGTCTTCGCGCCTTGTGCTCGGCGTAGATATTAGAAATTCTGCGCTGAACTTCCGACATGGTTATCAATCTACCCTCAGCAGCCTGTATCCTCCCCAAGAAAGATACTTCGTCGATCTTCGACGTCTTACATTTGCCCAGAAGACTCCGCACTAATTCCTTTTCCAAGTCAACAACTTCTTGAGTGCCACCCGTCGAGATTGCTTCTTTCCTTTTCAACTGCTTGAGGAGGGAGCAAACCTCTAGGGGGATGTCAAGCAGTTTCTCGAAGTCATCAACTTCAGCCTCCGAGACTAGACTCTTGACGCGGTCAATCAGATTTCTCGGTGCTGTACGGTTCCTGAATTGAAGTGATATCCAATATTTCACATAAGAGAATCCGAGGTATCCAGACAGAGGATAATCTTCTTGCCCCGACAGTCGTAATGCTCTAGGAAAGATCTCCGTCAGTCGATTTTTGAAGAACTGATTGATTTCTTCCGTAATCTCCATCACGTCTTTGTATAGGGCCGCAATGCCCTGTACTGTTTTATCATTTGTCAAATCCCAAGGTAATCTCTGCCTCAGTCTTGCCCTTCTGCTTTCCCCGCTAGCAGTGACTTCTGCATCGATTAACCACTGGTAGTTTTCTTGGTCCTCAGGCTCCTGTGACTCCTCCTGGAACTCGTCGAAACGTCTCTTCAGATCGGTTACAGTTGCCTCTACTCGCTTGATGGACTTGAACGGCCAGTTTTTCCTGAGAAAAACTCCCACGACGATTCCTTTCCATTCGATTGTCGTGTAAAACTTTCCTTCGTCATCATCGAAATCTACATGCTCTTCCCAAGACGTAAGACTCTTCTCCAGCCTGGAACCCAAGTTTACACTGTCTTCTTCGGTGATCGGGAACAATGACAAGATATTCATGAACACGTCTCGTAGTCCTGGCCTGACTCGTTCGAGAGTTGTGAAAAACGGATTGAGCGTACCCCACATTTCCTCCTCCGTCTTAAAAACATTGTTGCCCGAATTATCCTTCAGCTTAGTCAGGTCAATGCTTGTCTTTGAGAACGCTTCATGAATTTCCATAGCCATTTTGATATCAGAGCCCATGTTTGATTCCAGGCTCAGCTGTTACTACCGTTGTCACTCCACAGATACTCTCCCGCTGATGTCACTCCGAATGTGAGAGTAAGAGTCCACTGGTTGCCGTGATACAAGGTTTCTCGAGAAATAGAATATCTAGGCACTGATATTCTAAAATTTTTAGAATATGTTGAAGTTCCCAGTAACCTTCTCTCCACAGACGGTGACACAGTCACAGTAGCAGTGACACCCGAAGTAGACAGTGATAGCACCGACTGCAAGTTTCTGTAGCAGCGGTAATAGATATCACGAATGGTGGCCACGCAGGAATGATATCAGGATACAGAGAACAAACGGAGGAGATAAGAGATTGGTATAGATGGTCAAGCTTGTTTACTTCAAGCAACCCAGTCTCACAGAGACTGTACACCTCGTTCTCCTTTCCCTGTCCTGCCAATGCGTGCGGCCCTTCTTCCTCTTCCTCGGTCCCTAAAATAGGGGCTGCCCGGTCCTAGGAACTACCACTACCGGTACTCTACGCTTCTTATCTGCGATATGATTCTTCGACCGGTCCGAGGCCTGGTTCCGTACCTTGAGGGTCCCCTGAGAAAGAGTCATAGGCTTGACATGACGAGGTCTTCGATTCTCATCCAACGCTCTCTGTGAAGTTGATGTAGCTGCTCCCTTGACCTTGACAGGTCCTGTGTCTCCGTAGGAGCATGCTTGGAGGTGGTCTCGTGCATTCCTTGTATGTCCTCCGCTAAGATGATCATGATAGTACTGTCTTCTTTGATCAGACCCCTTGTTCTCCCATGTCCATGACTTCAGGGGTGATACTTCCAATCTCCCCTTGAGTGTAGCCATATCCTGCCACCGTGTCATCTGCTGTCCTGTCGTGGACTGATATAAGCTGGCTCGCTTATCTCCTGCTGCCATCCACGATTCCTAAGTTCTTGCTGTCTTCTTCATGATTCTCCTACGTCGTCCTTATTGTAGCTGTTGCTGTCCTCTCCAGGGATGCATTCCGAGGCTCTAAGCATCTGTGCACTTGAGCCACGTCGATTACTTGGCATTGTCTGAGGTGAAGCTTCCTCCTATCAGGTGCTTCAACATTTATACCAGCCTCATGCTTTCATCATACCAATGTGTTGTACGTACGTCTACGTCCAGTACACATCTTCGATTCTAGCATTATACACCTCGCCAGCGTACGTAGCCTCTTGCGACTACTCGCATGATGCTGCCATGTCCGTTACTGACGTAACGTCATGCGGGTGCAACATCACTCCCCCTTGCTCGAAACTCAGTGTCGTCACTGCGTGAGAGCATTGATTTATGCAACACCGGGACCGACCCAACGATTCTGGTGCTGTATGAGGGTCTCCCTTTGTCTCTTCGCGAACTAACCAACAAAATGCGAAAATGGCAGAAAGCCAAAATGCAAATGTGGCCCAGGACGGTGAGTTCCCAGTACGTTTCAGCAAATGACATAGGTTCCAAAGTCATACATGCATTCATATGCCTTTCAGTGAGCATAACACGTCGTTTCCACATGCTTTTACGTTTCCTTCGTAGCATTTTGTGGATGCACGTGAGGAATTGCGTGTAGCATTTTTGAGGTAACGAGACGTTGGATTGCCTTTCACACACTGCTGATTGTGTGGGGTAAGCAATTCCAAACCCTGATGTAGCTTTTCGCATCATCAACTAGCTTCAATGGAAGTTTAGAGCAGCTATGCAGCATTTTGCTACACGCCGGTTACCCACGTAGTGAGTTAACGAAGAGTACGTTTCCATGTTTCAAAAGAAATCATGTTACGCGCCATCGCCCTGATTAGCAATCATGTTTCCATGTCACCATATCAGCCCATGCACTATGGGGAAGCTGTGCTATGAAACTCTTACTCCTTTCTCCCATGTCCATTTGCGTTTGCAAGCAACTATCACTACCCACTGAAGTCGCAATGCCCCAGGGATGCTCAAGTTGTGCCACATGCTTATGGTTTCGCTTGTACTATGCTACTCCCTGGTACTAGAACAGTCCAGAGGCGCTCAGCACTTCGCGTATGCGTCTTTGTCCTTCGAAGGATCTTAGACAAGTTTGAGAAAAGTTTATTCATTTTGAAAATTACCAAAGGTAATCATCGTATGAATTACTTTTTTGTTTTCCTTTGATAGCGTATTGCTTCAGGGAGGTTCAACAATTGGTCTCTTAGGTAGAGAAACTGATCAGCGGGCAGCGGTTTTGTGAATATATCAGCAACTTGCTCGCTTGTATGAATTGCTTCCAAGGTGATCTCCTTGTTGGCAACGCATTGTCGTATGAAGTGGTGTCTTCTCTTGATGTGTTTCGATCTGCTCTTGCTGACGGGATTCTCGCTGAGCTTGATGCAGGCGGCGTTGTCTTGATAGCATATCGTCGTAGGTTGCTTGTATCCCATGAACTCGAGCGTCTCTCGCAAGTACAAAATCTCGATAGCTGTAAGCGTGCTTTGGATGTATTCGCTTTCCATGGTAGACAGTGAGACTGTGTTGTGTCTTGCTGATTTCCATGAGATTGGTGTCCCATTGAGGAAAATGACGTATCCACCGGTTGATCTGCTTGTGAGCTTGCAATCGGCGTCTGAGCTATCGCAGAATGCGACTAGTTCCATTTTCTTGTGTCCGTTGTCATCGTTGTCGGTGTATCTGATTCCTAGTGTCTTGGTGTTCTTGAGATAAGCGTATACTCTGTGCACTGCCATTAACAGTTTCTTCGTAGGACTTGTGAGATATCTTGATAGCAATGATACTGCATAGCTGATTTCTGGTCTTGACCATGTTGCTATGTATATCAGACTTGCTACTTGGCTTCTGTAAATTTTGACTAAGTCTTCAGGCGCGTGCGGATCAACGTCTTCTGGTTCGATCACGAACTTGGGATCCATTGGCGTGGTGAATTTCCCTGTAGGGTCGATCCCCTCAAGGTTGAATCTTTTCAAACATTTTTCGATGTACGCTTGCTGGTTGCTGATGAAGTCTCCAGCTTCGTCCCTCTTGTACGCGACTCCCAGATAGAAGCTAAGATCGTTGTCAGTTGTTACGCTGTATCCTTTTGTGTTCATCATGAAGTCGTCGAACTTTGCAAATAGTGCTTGGCTGTTGCTAGCTTGGATGATGTCGTCGACTACTAATGCGATGATGATCTCTTCCCCTTGCTCGTCATGATATAGAAACAAACAATCATCTGACGTGCAGGCTTTGAAACCGAAATCGCGTAGGTCTTGGCAGAGCTTCTTCCAGAAGTTTCGACCTGATGAAGGAAGTCCATAGACTGAACTCAGGATCTTCAAGTATGCTGCTCTAATGTTGCAGAACTCTTGAAATTCCTTTGGGGTCCTGATATATACAACTGTAGGAAGTGGTGCCATCAGGTATGCAGTTGAGATATCTTGACATCTGACGTGCCATTTGTTTGCTCTGGCGATTGTCAGAAGGAGTCTGATCGTAACTGGGTTCGCTGTCGCTGAGAAGGAGTCGAGGTAATCGATCCCTTGTACCGCGTTGTAACCTTGTATGATCGCTCTTGCCTTGTATTTCAATACTTCTCCATTCGGTCCTCTTTTCCTTTTAAGGATGATTCTGCATCCGATTGCCTTTCTTCCGTCTGGGATGTTGTCGACTTCTTCGAATACTTTTAGTCCGTTCCATGATCGTGCCTCTGACTGAATTGCTGTTATCCAATGGTGTCTCTCTGGGTTGTTGTTGTTGAGAGCTTCTTTGATGCTTGGTTCGTCATTGTCAAACGCGATATGGCTGGTTGCCGACAACATGCCTGTGTAGAATAGTTGAGCTTTTTGTATCCTTGATTCTCTTCTTTCATCTTTCTTGCATCCTTGAAGAAAAGACATCAAGCTGTCGATTTCTTCGTTGTAATGATTTTCGTTGTACATGTTTCGTTGTGGTGGCCCGTGTGACCATGTCATGATTTTCTCTTCCAGGTTATTGTATGTGTCGACAAGTACTCCACAGTATTGTCGCTTCGTTAAGGGAAGTAGTGTCGCATTGATGAAGTCTTGATTGTCGAACTCTTCAATTCCTGCTGGAAGATCATTGTCTTCGTGGTCTGAATCACTTGTCGGTGTGTCCACATTCGTCTTCTGTACAATTCGTCCTGACCTCAGTTGATGTTCAGGTATTTGGGTGAGTTTATCCCACTCAAAATCCTTTTCACCACTGTTGTAGGTTTCGACTTGAAGACTGGCTAGTTCACGGTTCATGTGCCCTCTTTCTGATAGTCCTGGATCCACCGCTACTTGTTCGTCTTGTGTGATATCACTCTCTCTTACAACTGATGTCTCAGAACAGGTTCTCGTGAGATGGTTGTCAACTTCAATAGCTTGTTGCCTCACTTGGATCACCATGGGATCATTGTGTGCTATGCCATGTTGTTGATCTGCAAACGGTCGTCGATTTCTTTCTTCAGGTTGGGCGCTGGAGTTTCCACCGGCATCTTCAGATTCTGAATCTGATGCGTCTGATGTATCTGACATTTCGATCAATCGTTCACCGGCTCTTTTGAGCACAATGACGTTGTCGTCGCCAAAATCATCAGTTCCGCCGTATGGTATTTTCCAAGATCTGTCCTCCGGGTGAGAAAATCTGTAGGGGAATACTTCTTCGTTGAAACTTATATTGTTCTGTGTGACGTACAGTTGTTTCCCATTCAGTGCTGCTGCCAAATAACCTTTCATTCCTAGGTGGTGGGCGAAGCCAAGAAACACGCAAACTTCTGCTGTTGGCTCGAGTTTTTTGTCTTTCTTTTGATCTAATCTTCTGTCCTTTAGGATATGAACGTAGCAGAGGCAACCGAATGGATGGAAGTGTTCTGCGTTTGGTGATGTACCTGTAAACGCTTGGTAGCAACTGATGTTTGAGTTTCTGCTGGTAGGAAGGAATGCATTCTCGATCTCTGCGTTGTAATATATAGCGCTGAGCCAGAGATTTTTCGGAACGTTTGAGTGTACGATTGCCAATCTAGTCCTTGTATCTAACGAGTAGATTCCAGATTCAGCTCTTCCATTTTGCCAATGCTCATATGGTGCGCTTCTTTCTAGGTGGATGTTGTGCTTCTCGTACATCTTCAGTGATTTCTTTGAAACCATTTCGCTCCCATTGTCAACTCGAATCACTTTGGGGTAGACCCCATTGTTGAATCTCGTGACAACAAGTCGTAACGATTTCCTGTAACCTTTCTTGCTCGCTAAACCTACAGGCATCTTGAATCCTGAGAAGTCGTCTTTCCAGAGTTGGAGGTACTTTGCTCCTTCGATCGAGCGGACTCGATAGGAGCTCATATCCCCATGCAGCCTGTGAAATCTGACATCGGATCTTTTGTGTCTGAATTTTGGTAATGGAGCTGCCTTGGTTTTCGCTCTGCGGCATGTGTGACATGTCGGCAGGGGTGTTTTTGGATTGATTCTCTTCAATTCCTCCATGCCTTCGATGTTTTCTGCCAGTTGGAAAAGGTATTTCTTGCCGATGTGGTTGGTTCTTACGTGCCACTTGAGCAGAATCGCTGATGCTCTTGTTCCTTTGATGCGTTCTCCCGTTGAATATAGGTAAATATTCTTGAGATCTGATTTGTCATTCTTCAATTGTTCTTCGTATTCCTTGTCGTTTTCGTCAAGTTCTTCGATCGTTGTGTTTGTAAAGTCGTCAAAATCTGTAAATGATCTTGGATCGTTAAGATACTCCTTGGTTTGCTGTTGAATCTCTTCCGTCGTGAATTGTCTTGCAGGTTCTAATGGAGTGTTGTCAGTAGTCATCAGCTCGTCATCGGAGCTGCTGCAACTGTCCAAGGTCTCTCCATTTTCACTGTCTGACTCTTCTGACGTGTCTAATTCAGGTCGTACATCTCGCATGCTGATAGGAAAGGTCTTCATGTGCGTGGGCTTGAAAGCTGTTGCCGAAGTTGTGCTCTCCCCCTGCATCGCAGCTTGGTAGATGTGGATGCTTCCCCCCCAACGAGGTACGCTCTCCAATCTTGCGCCATGGATGATCAGGTGGATTCTGCGTTTTGATGTACTTTGTGTATTTGTCGTTTGTGTTGACTCCTTGATTGTTGCCGTGAGTGGTATTTCGCCTTCTTGAATTTCTCTGAGAATTGTGTCTTTATCCCAGATGGTTTTTGCTGATAGCTTGGAGATTATCTTATTGGTCTTCCTGTTTGGTCTTTGAATTTCGACGTACCATAGGTAGGTGCTTGGGCAGAAGTAGAAAGGTATAAATTCATTGTTGAGTGTAATGATTCCGTGTAGTCCTCCTTCTGGTTTACCTTTGTGGATTATTGTATGACCACTATTTGTAATTCGCCAGATGGATAACAGGTTGATTTTAGCATTTTCGTCGCTGATTACTGTTGCTATAGTTGCAAATGCAAAACGTTTTCCTTCGATTGATGCTATCGTTCCTGCTAGAATTCCTCCGAGCGATGTATTGATCTTGCTGCCCCCCACGCCGGTGATCTCAGTTTTGTGTGTAAACGATCTCTGTAACCAACTTGGATTGCAGAGTACGCTTACAGTTGCACCTGAGTCGACAATAGCGTACAGGGACTCTTGTTGTTCTTTCGCTTTTAACGCGTGTAGGAAAACTTGATACCGATCAGTGTTCCTGATCAGTAGTCTGGGTATATGAAAGATGTATTCAAGGTACCATGGTTTTGAAACTTTTGAGAACAGAGCTGCATCAAGCTTGTGCAGTTGGATCTCGTCAGTTTTCGACCTGGTATCACTTTGATATACAACATAATTTTTAGAACAGGGATACTCCTTGGGAGATTTATTCTTTCTAGAACTGCGTCCTAGTGTGCCTCGGAACGTCTCTTTTACGACTTCTTTCAGTCGTTTCGGAGGTGTTCGAGATGAGGACGGTTCATCGGATTCGTCTTCATCACTGCTAGGTGATTCTTGAACGGATTCTTGGGTTTCGGTTTGGTCGGTAGAGGTGGCTTCTTGCAGCGCTTTTGTGAGGTTCACGAGGACCTTCTTGTCGATGCTGACTGTTTGCTTGTATTTTGACTTCGGGTATTGTCCGCTCTCCTCGTTTGAACGGTTTGGGTTCGACGAGCGATGACTCTTGGCGGTAAATTTTGCGGATCTTCCTGCCCTTGTCTGAAAACCGGTTGAAATGCTTCCTGTGATCCTCTTCATGGTTGGCGCTGTTTTATTGCCAGTGGCTCTTTCTCCGATCCTAGATGCGTCATGCTCGCTGGTAGCGTGACTGAGAGAAATCCTTGCTGGAAGTCGTTTTTCTTTGCAGATTTTGCATCCAGTAAAGTTTTCTTGTTGTTGTCTCCTGATTTTCTGTGGTGTATTGTTTTGCTTGATGGAGGCTGAAAACACGGCGTTCGCCTTTCGTTTCTGACCTGAATGATGTGCTTCTGTTGATTTCTTGCCAGAGCTTTCTTGTCCTGCTTGAAGGATAGGTATTGGGTGTTTCGTGCCTCTGGTAGTGAAGTTCATCATATGTTGATGGAATTTCAAAAAATCTTCAATCTGTGGCTCTCCTTCGTAGAAGAAATTTTCTTCCGTTGCGTTGCGATGGATTTGAGATGTTATCCAACTACCTAGTTCTGCTTGAACGCCCGTTTCGTCGATTGCTCTGAGGTTGTCGATAACGTCTTTGAAAGCACGGGTGTAGATAAAAGTGCAGTCTTTGCCTTGTGAAGCAAATTTCTTCAAGGTCCTAACCACATTGGGGATGTAACTCTGGTAGTCTCCGTTGTAGATTACTGCTTGCTCTAGTTCTTTGAGATTGGCAAGGGTCTGTTCAGCTTTTGTTGCTTCGGTTGGCTTGTCTAGTCTTTTAAAGTCTGTCCATGCCTTGATCCCAGCTAAGCAAAGCTTTGTAGGCGTCTCGGGGGATTTGTGTTCTTCTTCCATGTGGGCTTTCAGAATCTGAATCCTGCCAGGGCATTGCATGTAAACAGTGTGGAGGATTTGCGTCAAAGCAGCATCTGCTTCTCGTACAAATTCTCTCCTTTTCTGTCTCATGTTTTCCTGTAATTCTTCTGATTGAGTATCTCTGATGGGAAAATGACAATCGAAGTAGGCTCTCATGTTTTCTGGATTCCCTTCAGAGTTGAGGTATGCATAGTATTGCCCTATCAACTCGAACTGTATAAAGTTCTCGATATCTGGGGCAAGTCTTTGCATATTCTCGGGTGTTACTGCTGTAATCATCGAGTCCTGAGGCTGATTGATTGGCGGCCATTGTAGACGGTATGGTGACATCTGTTCCTTTAACGCGAGGCTCATAACCTGATGCGGGTATAGTCCAGCAACTGAGCGATAGTGCACTTAGGAGTAGAACAGATGAACAATGAAGCTAGATTTGTTTATGTACAGCAGTAAGAGAACACACGTCAATGTTCGTGCAATCCCATTCCGATGACGTGGCCAACGTCTAAGATGGGTTGCTTATATGTCGAGGTCAGGCTTAACCCGTAATACAGCAATGAGTAAACATGTGTATCGGTTTATACCAGCCTCATGCTTTCATCATACCAATGTGTTGTACGTACGTCTACGTCCAGTACACATCTTCGATTCTAGCATTATACACCTCGCCAGCGTACGTAGCCTCTTGCGACTACTCGCATGATGCTGCCATGTCCGTTACTGACGTAACGTCATGCGGGTGCAACATCATGATTGACGCGACAAACAACAACTTGATCGTCCGTACGAGGACAATCATCCACTACAAAAGGCATTTTTTTTGCGAAACCGAAGGGGAAGATCACTGAAATGATAGGGTATGCTTCTTGCTTCCTTCACATCAGCAGGGTTGCATGACATGCTGCTGAACATGAGCGCCGGAGCGCTTTTACCTGAGTGCGATAACTGGTAGTGACAAGATCGAGTCGCAACTCGTTCTCCTCTGTTCTCTGGAATGTCACTCAAGGACTATTTCGATTCAATCACGTTGTTTCTATTGGGCCTCAGGTTGCAAACCCTCTGTTTCTCAGGAGAAGGCCGATCGCCATGACAGGAAGGATGCAGCAAACCCTCCGTCGTACAATGCAACTAAAGGGTTTCCGACAGATCGGCCAATCCAGGAGACGAGCATGGCGAGACTGCCCTGCCGAAGAACCATGTCAACACATGCACACAAAGCAAAAGATGAGAAGGGAAAGGAGGTGGAAGAAATGGAAGACAATACGGAGAAGTGCTTGGGCAAAGGAGGTGGAGAGAGTCAGACAAAGGATTCAGGGAGCACGAATCAGACAAACCGACGGAGCTGAAGTTGGGACGCTGAAGGGAGACTCTCTCCATGCAGAAACAAGGCATCTGTGTCATAAGTCACAAGTCTTGAAGACTCAAGAAACGCTGTGCAGACTGTGATTTCAGTTCTGATAAAGATCTCGGCAATCTTCCGTTGCCAATCACGCCATTTTCCATATCCCACTTGTCATAAAACTGGTGTTGAAAGTTAACCAAGCGTACGTTAGTGGTATGTGTTACGGAATAGTCGTGCCAATTCCAAAAAAACCATCCGTGCGACGAGTGATTATACGCGAGAACCTGCTGCATCACAAAGTCCTTGACTTCCTCCTCCGGGTACGGTCCTGGGCGCGAGGCTGACCATTCTCCGACCATCGCAGCATGAAGATGCGTCAGCTCCCTTGCTTCATCCTGCAGCACTGCGACATGCTGAGCTCATACAAGAAGGTGCAAGCAAATTACGGTGGGAGGTACAGGTTCACAGGAGAAAAAGCATGTCAAAGCTTGAAAATGAAAGCGGAAATCCCTTACTTGTTCGTGGCTTAGCAGCGACCAGGCAGAATGAAAATCTGCGATGGATAAGAGGGAGGAGGAAATGATTGATTTCACCGTGATAAAAATGAATATCCCATGCAACGTTGTCGTATCTGTGAATATTTCCACGTTCCAGCCACAGCCTCGAAATTTCTCGTATGCGCCACTGAGTAAAGATGGGGAGAATGATGCAAACATCATGTGGAGACATTCCAGCCTCACGGACAACCCTAATTGACTGCAGACAACGATGAACATCTCTACTCTCCTAGAAGCCAACAACCTCCTCATAGAAGTCGCACAAGACGTTAGAAGGAATAGCAGGCGAAGGCTCATTGCAGACCTTTCCAAATGTCAAATTCGAGGTAAGGCAGCAATAAATTAATCACTTGAATTCCAGTAACGTTATCAAAGCCCCTGTATCTCACAACGACTTGTCGCAAACACTCCCTGTAGCAAAGACAGACCGTCGTCAACTCAAGCTTCCTTGAGATCAATCTTACAGAGCCTCTTCTTGCCTCCACTCTTTCCATGTCCAATCTTGTTTCTCTCGCCCACAAGGTCGAAGTCCATTCTCTCCCCCAGGGTTGCCATGAAGATCAAGCACAACCTTAATCGAGGTCACCTTCGTCAAGATGGCAACCTGCGATCTGTAAATACCTGAAGGTTGCACGTTCTTGCCATTTTCACGGCTTCGTCAAGCTGATCTAACGCCGGGCCATCGTAGACATCTGCATTCGTAGGCCCCGTAACGATCCAGTAGCCAAAGGGAATCCTGACAGCATTCAGCCCATGGTCTGCTATCTTCTTGAACGTGGATGCGTCGAAATGATTTTTCCTGTGCTTTCGAAGCACCTGCAAAAAATAAACATTCATGAGAGAAAATGAGGCAGCGACGAAGAATGACATGTGAAGCAGACAGGCAGGTCAGACATTGAAACGTGCAAGATGTTATGCAATCATCGATGCCATCAAGGAGAGACACATCGATCGCTGGTCTCACTTCAGATTTGACACCCTTCTCCACCTTGTCCAGACAACTACACAGGGACCATTCACAACCACACGAAGCCTTTTCTTCTCCTCGTGATTTCAACATTTCTTGACAGTCTTCGAACAACGGCGAGGCTGTTGGACGGCAGGACTCAACCAGAAGCAACAACGAACAAATTCAACCTGGTCCTGGCTCCAACAGAAACCATCCACCAAGATTCGCACCCAACCATTTATCATGACGCCAATGAGATCTTTCGAGTTTGGCGGTTGTCAGTACAACCTTTGAAAAGTTCGAGCAAAGAACCTGTGAAAGCTTTGATTCAACACTATCAGTGATCGTTCGGCCATCGATGAAAGATTCAGCATCCAGGATGACCAGAAACATCCGCTGAGGAATGCAAGGGTAGATATGTGAAATTTTTCACTGTCAATCACGGTTACAGAGGCAAAGCTTGGAGGTGTTTGAGTTACATGTCACAGCAAGTTGAGCCAATTGCGTTTAGAGAAGCATCAACCATCTGCGAAAGGTTCTCCTCCTGGTTATCAAATACGATCCTTACTCCATCAGCAACTCCACTTTCAATGATGCTGATGCGGTGCTCTCCAAGGTCTTTCAAGTCGCTGTCTGTGCTTGTTTCTGAACCGAAGGCTGCTATGACAGGATCTGGGCGAGGTTTCACTTTGTGTTGACTGCAAGCTGCAAGAGCCTCTTCACGGCCTCTCCTTCCACAGTATGCGCGCACCAGTCGCACTAGATGGTAGGAGAGTCCTGCCTCCATGTTGGCTACTTCAATGATCTTACCCTATCGATCCTTCTTAGCTAATCACTTCCACTCTCGTACAGGATACGAACGTGAGAGAATGCAGCGGAGATGGTGGAAGGGTCCTGGATGGCACAAGTCAGAACCACGACCAGGTCAAGTAAGAGCATCAAGCGCTGATCTTTCTGCTAGGCACGTGAGACGTGAAGGTATCAGAATCGGGTCACATAGAACAGCACCAAATGGATGCCCATGAAGGCACAACTGCTCAAGATGCTGCTGTTACTACAACTCGAGCTGACAAAGGTAGCGAAGGACAGCAGGGGAGCGAGGAGATCAGGTAGGCAGCGAGAGAAGAGAGGACAGAGCTGAGGGATGAAACGGGAACAGGATTGAGGTGCGACTGGTGAACATGATCCGTGCCCCTCCGTTTAAAAATAGCAAACTACATATTAAAATCATTATATAAGACACTTTATTGTCCTGACCCACATCCAATAGCACTGATGCACTAAATTTCTATTGTTTTCGCGTTTTTTTGTTGAAGGAGCTGAAGACTTTCTGGAAGGATGCAGTAGCGATGACGGACATGGTCACCTGGCTTGGCGCCATGCTCGGCATGGACCCGAAGTCGCTGACCCGGCTTCTATCCATCCTCTTCTATGCACACATCTGCACCTTCATCACCCTCATAGGATCCGCCATGATGTTCAAGAGAGGAAGGAAACTTCTGAGGAAGTATTGGAGGATAAGCAAGGAAGGGCCGTTCTTCCGCATCGCTCAATGGGCCTTCTCTAAGTTTGTTTCTCTCGCCGTAATGGTTGATAAGACGCTCTTCAATGAGACGCTTGTCAGCCCACCAACGAATACGAGAGTGAAATTCACAATAATTCAAACCCAAAGTGATAGGATCATTTTAAATTGGGAAGCACAGAAAGCATGCAGATGGATAGAAAACATGTATGAGCTCCAGGTTTGTCGAGCTCCACCGGCTTTCATGGTTTTGAAGTATCGTTAAACAGATTTGCAAAGATTTGAATGCAAACACTGACATACTCGATGCGATGTGGGAGGAGTCTTATCGAGGGGAAGAATGTAAATATGATTGCAAGGATCTTGTCCAGGTGCTTCTATATCCAGTGATGTCAATGATGTGATGACTCAGTACAGGCAACAAGATACAGATTTCGGGTCAGAATATTCAACAGTAAAGGGACCTCGAGGTGTTTGAAAGCTTTCTGCCAGAATTGTCAGTAACCCGTTGGCTAGTTGGACAACTGGCGAGTTTGAGACAAGACAAGAACCTGTGCAGAATGGAGGCAGTGGACCTGGTTACATTTGGCGTCAGAACTCGCAAGAGATTCAAGTAACATATGGGAGGGAGGGGGGAGGAGGAGGAGTTAGTAATCGCTCACACGCTGTGGCTGCTGTAGCTATGCTTGGAATGTCGAGCAGACGCAAGACCCAAGGACATTGTGGTCGACTGCAAGCCTCTCGGTCTATGCGTCTCTGACAAAGGAATGGGCGAGAATAAGGTTTACATCTGTTGCAATACTGCCATGTGGATGGTCATGTGCTACCAGATTCTCTTGGCCGGCGAGTTCACAAAACCTGTCTCGCACACTGATGTATCATAGACTTTCGTTATTTCGACAGAGCTTACCATGTTGTAGATTGCGTGGATCTTGCACCATGACAAAAAAGACAAGAAAAACAAGGTTGCCAATGCTTCTGATGCCGAACTTGTTTGCTCTCGATAGTAGCCAACCTGACACATGAAGTTGCTGAAAGTTGGGCTGACAGGTCTTGATCGTGTTGCAGAAACAAGATCCGACCAGCAAACAGAAGGATCACTGGAGGTCTGTCTTCAAGTCCCATCCCTTTATCGATCCTCGATTTCTCCCGCACGGATTAATTCCAGGGAAGTTCGAAGTAGTTTGATCCGTTTGTAGACTGCTTCACTATTTAGTTTTCACTGTGGTAGTGTAAAAAAGTGTTCGCTTGATACGGCGACTCAAGTTTACTTAGCCGGGTTACTACGGACGTCGAACGGCCCGGCCCTTGAACCGTCAACTTGAATTGTGACCGTCGTCACAACTGTGACTCCGGGACTCCGGGGACTCTCCGGCGGAGGAACTGTTGAACTCAGTCCGATCCTGGAGCAGCTCCTTCGGATTCCCGGGGAGGAACTCCAGGACAGACCGTTCGGTTCCGAGGCGGGCCGGGAGCCTCCGAGGCTCGGAACTTGGAACCCGGTTCGTCGGAACTCCACTGAGGGAACTCGGCCGCGGCGCCCGGCCAGAGGGAACTCAGGCAAGCACGAGGTGGGGATGAGGGGCGGCGCCAGAGGAAAACCATGGGGAGGAGAGCGAATGACAGTGGCGTACGAGCGCCGGACACGGGGAGCAAGAAGCGCTTCGATGTGAACCGTCAGATCAAAGAGAAGTCAGGAAAGTTCAACTACTCGGTAGGAAAGAAGGAGCGGAAAACTCTCAAGGCTGGGAAGCAGGAGATTGTGCCAAAGGTGATTTTAACATTCTTGTTGCCGTGACATAGGCCTGCTGTTGCCCGCTATTTGGCTTGCCGTGAGTTGGTTCATATATCAAATTTGCTTGAGCGATAAGATTCCTCTTGTTGGTGTCTCACTGATTCGATATTCTCTTGCAGGTTAGCATAACTGTCGTCATCGTCATTGTGGTTCTTGCAGCAGCTTTCATGGCCGCTTTCGTGTGGCTCATGGCGACGGCAGGAGAAGAATGAACGGCTTAAAGTGCTGCACATGTTTCTCCATGTTATCACCGATGCTGTGAAAGAGCATTGTTCACATGCGAGATGCTCGGGTCATTGACACAAATCCAAAGGAAGGGAGGGCTATTGAACATGTAGAGGAGTGTTAACAATTAGTGTTGATCCTATACCATCCTCCCTCTCCTCCCCTGTTGCTGATTCTACCATCCGTCAGTCATTCTACCTAGGAGACAACGCTGTGATGATGCAAAGCATGATAGCATCTAAGTCAAAAGAAACTTACCTGGGGAATAAACCTGATGATGGATCTGAGAAACAATAATGTTTTCGCCCTAAAAGCTTTTTTCCCTGCCTCATCACTCATGGTAGATCAACCCGTCTCTCATCCTGCGCACATACAAGCAAAGCTACTTGAAGAATGGCAACATCAATCGATCGTTGATCATGGCTTCGATTATGATTGAAAGGCCTGTCGGATCACTGAGTGGTAATGAATCACTGAATCATGTAATCAAGGCATGAAGGCATGAAACTCAGGCTAGTCGTAAGTCATTAATGAAGCCTCATAACTTGTAAGCTAACGCGAATGATATCAGGGTAACTCAGTTTACCTTCGAGTAAAGCTTCAAGTAAAAACTGTATCATCTCACTCGCAGTGACTCGCTCACAGGCTCACGCACACGATTCACTGATCATTCAGATATAGTCCAGGATTAACCCATGCAATCCGCCTCCCGGCCGGCGACTCGCCGCCGAGTCGACGGTCCTGAGTCACTGCCGCGCACTGGCGCCGCCGGGGTCCGACCAACCAGTGAGTACAAGTTCACCCCTCTGAGGCGGGTTAGCAATCCGCTTTTTTAAAGTCGGAAGTGGTTCCACCCACCAAAAATGCAAGCAACCCTGCAGCATCGTGGGGTTGATCTTCTTGCCATGGCGCGGGTAAGGAGGAAGGGAGTGACGGAAGGGACGGAAAGGACGGAAGGGACGGAAGGAGGGAAGGGATGAAGGGAAAGATTGTAAAGGGTTGCATGCTGGATGCTGGAAGGGATTTGGAGTTAGAGTTTGATGAAGTTCCTTTTAATCTTGCAGGTCGCGGGGTTGCAAACATGCGAGGAGATGTTGAGGTCATGGATCAATGATACAGAAGAGGCAGGAAAGTGTGCGCCATGAGGCGCAGGCGGTCGAGGCAGAGGTTGCTGTGCTGAAGGAGCTGCAGGGGATTTGCTAGTGAAGTATCTCGAGGGGAAGGTCAAACTTCAGGTTGAATCAGAGCCAACGAGAGAAGGAGGGGGCGAAGTCTCGAACAAGTTGATTCAGGTGCTACGAGAAGGCAGGTATCCTTGCTTGCCTCTCATGCTCTGTTGCTTCAGCATGCAGGCAGTCTGGATGCAACAGGATCTCCAAGGATCACTAGGTTGCATGTGGGAGGGGTAGAGCAACGCAAAGGATGGAGCATCCTCAACACAGTGCCTGGACCAAACGTGGACATTGTCGGCTCCTGTACAGACTTGTCTTTCATCCCCAGTGCGACAGTGCAAGAAGTTTGATTGCAACCTCCCTGCCACCGCTCGCTCATCCTTGCCAGGTCTACTCCAGCCACTGTTTCGAGCACCTGGGGTACAATTCATGTGGACAACTTCTCTCCGCTCTCAGGGAGGTTCACAGGTACAGTCTTCCTGCCCTTTTCGTTTCCATGAGCATGCTTGCCCCTTACCTCTCTCACCTGATTGTTTCCTTCCTCTGGTTCAGAATCCTCGTTCCTGGCGGCTGCTTTAAGTGTAGTGTACCCGACCTCTCCGTCCTTTGCTCGCTCTTCGCCAACCCTCCTGCCATCTCCTACTACGATCAAAGCATTGTTCCGAGCGGCGTCAACCCCGTCAGGTATAGCATGTGGAAAAGGACAAGAACTGAATAGCTGCAGATGGCAAGTGATGCGCATGATCTACGGGGGGCAGATGGATGCCTGGGACTTTCACAAGGTGTGTAGGATTGAGAAGACTCGTGCATGATGTCCTGTCAGGTAGGTTTCGACCGGGGGATCCTCGAGAGCTTTCTCAGGTCTGCGGGTTTTTTAGACGTTGAGCAGGTCAGATCGATATTGTTGGAGAAAAGTTCGGGAGAAGATGATGGCAGATCTCAGGTGGAGAACTTCGAATTGTTCAACGACACCAGCAAGATGGTACTATTTCTCTATCAATTTACACAAAAGGCTGAAGGAGTTCGCAGCGTTTCCTTGGGATCCCCATCAGCTTGAATGTAATTGCCTGGAAACAGAAAAGTCTATAGCTGCCTTGGAAAAGAGATGATTGGAGGAAGAGGATGGTTCGAGAAAGATGCGAGTGCAGATGTGCTGAAGCAGAGTGTTGAGGAGCACAAGGCATCGTGATGTGGAGGAAGATAGGCTGTGGCGATTGCTGGAGCGAAGCACAAGGATATGACCTTCTCCGGTTGAAAAGATGAGAAGCATACCGATTGGAAGGAGAAAGGTCCCGCACAGAGAGGTTAAAATTCAAGAACTGGTTGATTGGCTGAGGTACATTGGACAGGAAAAGTTATGCAGCATCCTTCCGAAAGTTTTATCTGAAGTGATAACCAAAACCTAGATGAGATAACTATATGTTGATTAATCATGGATCGATTACGAAAATTCAGCGTTTATGGTGTTGACGGCATGTGACTGATGGTCAAGTCTCACCAGTGTAAAACAGATTTCATGAGATCATCTTTCTTCCCTCTTCTCTGTACACTTCCCTACAACTCTGTTACATTCGAAAAATCAAAGGCATGAAAACCATGACGATGTGAGTTGATTTAGTCTGTCCCCGTGGTTTCGAATGGATACAAGATCAATTCTTGATCTCGTCCTCATCACCCTCAACCCTCCTTTCTTTCACTATCCTCGAATCTTTGTTCATGTCAAGTTCAGTGCATGTCCATGTGGTGCTTCTCCTCGCTTTCCTACATTTATTCTGTCTTCCCCTTACTGCTCCATCTACCCGGTCGCTGCTCTCGATCTCCCATTCCATCTCTTCGGCCTCGACGTTGCCCGCTACTTCCCTTCCTCCCCTTCCATATGGTCCTTGCGACCTGTCTTGTAGCTTCAACAAGTTCGATGTCTCCTGAAAAGAATTTTGAGACGCGGTAATGGGGGGTGGGTAAGGTTTCAGGAGATTACTTAGATAAATAGGGTCATTGAATTGATCTATCAGGGGTGGGGTATGTCACCCTACCTGCACGATTTTCTCAAACGTAGCAGCCTGAAGTGCCCGCCAATGTGCATGGGGTTTTTACGGAAAGCAAGGGAGCCATTGGAGCAGAAAGAGCAGGAGAAGGAGAGGAAGAATCACTGATGAGAAAGGATAGGAGAACACATGCGGGAGCAGGAGGAGGAGGAGGAGGAGGAGGAGGAGGAGGAGGAGCAGGAGCAGGAGCAGGAGCAGGAGCAGGTCCAAGGCAAGAGCAACAGAAGGCGCACAGTAGCCCTTTGAGTGGGACAGGTATATGAATAAGAGGTGTATGTGTAAGACGTAGAGCCAGAAGATGACATGAAAAGTAGAAGAACGCAAGATACGAGTGATTGAATGTATCTCTGCTTTTTCCCTGCCACATCAAGAGCCAATGGCACAATGACCTGCTCCTCTTCCTTTTTCCAGGATCTCGGCAGCAGCGATGTCCACAATGAGCGCCAAGTTTCTGCTCTTCGCAGCGCTTCTTCTTTTGGTTCTCATGCCCAACAGTGCGGCTTCAGAAGAGGAGGGTGTGAAATGCTGCAAGGGCAGCATGATCCAAAAATGGATCAAAATCTCCGATCAGATTTCGAAGCGATTCGAAGAGCTTTCGTTGCGCTTTCCTCCTCTGGCTGTTTGCATGAAGTATGTCTTCCGCCCTTTGGGAAAGCTCTGGAATTACTTGCTCCGCACTGTGAAGCCAGCCGCTGTGAGATGTTCACCAGTTCGGCTCTTGAGGGAACTAACTCACCATATTTCAGCCCATTGCTGCCAAACTGGAAACAGAAGAGACAGCCCAGAAGGTGGAAAAGGTTTCGCTGATCAGGCGAAGTTTTCGTTATGACTGGGTCGGTGGATGTAGGTGAACGAGGAAGACCTTCGAAAGCAAGAGGTTTGAGCATGAAGATCCTCTATGCAGTGAGTGATGTTTTCTGCAGGAGTCAGAGGCAACTGTACGAGCCCAAGCAGAAGCGGTGAAACTCGATGCTTTCAACTGACTGTTGAGCACGGACTGAGCTTCTGTGAATTGATGAATTCAAAGAGACAGGAGCAAGAGAAATCTGTTGAGACTGATACTGCAAACGAGGTGATGCAAGAAGTCTCAATAAGCCAACTTGCGCACTGAAGGCAATGCAGGAAGCTGCGAGTGTAATTTCTACGGAGGAAGCAAAGACTGTACCAGAGACTTCAGCGCAAGGAGCTCCAACTGCTGATTCCAACCAAGACGGAGTCAAAGTAGATCTTCCGAAGTACTCTTTTATGCTTTCTGAATGGGTTTGGACAAGGTGGAGCAAGAAAAGGCTGAAGAGCCAGCACAGCAGACGGCAGCGGAGTGAACATGTAGTACAAGCTCATCATCTTACCCGGCCATCAAAATCTATTGACGTAGAACACAATGATTAAAGGATATCCTGGGGAATGCATGTAGTCTGGGAATATTATGTTACAATGAGACCTCACGAATCAACCTGATTCTGCCTCAGTCTCGCCTCACTGATCAAGTTTCGAGATTTTCAGTCTGTGAGCTGCAAGCTTCAGACGCGTGACAGGCAAAATATTTTATTGTCGGTGCAACCATTGCTGTAAAGAAATGCACCGATGCACGTCCAGTATGACGAAACCAAGAGAAATGCTGGAGCATATATTGGCCAGGCAAACAACCAGCAAGCGGGATCTTAGGAGGCAGGAAAGCTTATCGGACCTTGACATCATCAGCTTTCTCATTGGAAGTTATGAAATTCATTAGGCAGGTTGATGGTCTTGCCTTCGAACCTTTCGTCAACTTTGACTTGGCAACCTAGCCTTGACCTGAAAACATTTTACTAGGATGAAAGGGGCTTCGTTTCGCACTCACGTTTCCGTCAGCCCAACAGTGATGTCAAGCAAGTCAAGCTCTTCTTCAGATGGTTGCGTAATCTCTTGGAACAAATCGCTGGGAAGGATGCAATGGCATGTGCTGCAAGCTAAGGTTCCCTCGCATGCTCCCTCCAGCGACAGATCATTCTTCTGTGCAATGTCAAGAATCGAATCTCCAATGTTGGCTTCAATTTTCTTTCCTTCAGGGGCTTCAAGAGGATCGATGATGGTGAAAGAAACTTTGCCAGGGGAAGACAAGCTCCTAGCCCCTTGCGACAAACGATGAAAGGAGGCAGGATATGCACGAGAACCCAACTCCGACGACACAGCAGGCCTTCCTTGAGAAATGACCCAGCCAAGGCATGAGGAAGAAACACGTCTTTGAGATGTCCGGGAGGAGGAGGAGCCAAATGCGCATGCTCGTCGCGCTGCGAGGCGCAAACTTGCGGTTGTGGAGAGCATGCTGGTCGAGAGCAAGCTTGAGGACCTTTTCTTGCTTATGTCGTTTAACAGCGCTTATATAACTTCATAAATTCATCAAATTTATGAAGTTATACTATATCTGTCAATTGCAATTTTGATATAACAAACAACTTTATGATCAATTATATATAATGTGAATATTATAAAGGATTGTTGCTTGCAGAGGCAGGCTCGTGGGGACTTTTTCATGGAAGGGGGTGGGGTAGTCCTTGTTGAAGGGCTAGTAGCCTTTTGAAGTCTCGCCCCGGGCCCCCGGCCGGGCGGGCCCGCCAGCCCGAGCCGGGGGCCGGCGGGGGCCGGCGGGCCCGGCCGGTGAAGCATGATTGAGGCTGGGAGAGCTGATAAGACGGTTATTAGGTGCTTTGAGAGATAGCACGCATGGAAGCCGCTTAAGAATGACCAAGTGGAAAGTTTTGTTCCCAACTCAGCAACACTGACCAACTTGCAACCTCCTTTCTTCTTTGACGCGCTGGCAGCCTCGCCGCCTGCGCCAGCCTGCCGGGGCCTTTTCAGCCGAACCCGGCCGGGTGATTCGGATGACTCAGGCCATCCCCATGGTGGGGAAAGGCTGAGGAGGAGGCGGGAAGAAAACCATCGGAGGTGCCACGTCCAGCCCTCCCATCAGCAGCATCTGCGAGCCGGAAGGAGTCATCTGAGCTTTGAGACCCACGTCTCCCTCCGTGCTCAGCTTGGTATCCGCTGAGACCTGCAGTAGCAGATGAGTTCAGGTCTCGGACGGTTTGATTGAAAGCGAGCTCACCTCGACAACCCCTCCAGCAGGCACTTCCTTATAGCAGATGAGGAGCAGCACTGCAGATAGAGCGACGAGAATCGCAGTCACACCGACGCTCCAAGGGATACCAATCCAGTCAGCTACAGAGCCTGTGACTAGAGCTCCAATAGCATAGCCAAGGTCCCTCCAAAATCTGACACCTTTCGTGAACAGAGGAGAGTGGAGGGCTGATACGACTCACCTGTAAGCTCCCAAGGCAGACGACCTCCAGGACGGGTCGCTATGGTCGCAAACCGCAGCGAGATTGTTGGCATACATCATGGCGGTACCAAGGCCGAGGAAGATGGCGCCAAAGAAGAAGCCAACCCTCGGGTCGTTCTCGTCCAGGCCAGTGCCAACAAAGACGACGAGTCCGAGGACATTGAACAGTTGGCCGAAGATGATGACAAACTTCCTGCCGTACCTGTCGCCGATGAAGCCAAAGATAAATTGCAAGACTCCCTTGAAGAGACCGTAGCAGAGAACGATGTTGGCGATGTCACCCTTGCTGAGAGGCTTCCAGCGGTTCGCCTGGCCATTCTTCATCCACTTGGTGAAGAGGCCCCACACAAACCCGGTGATGAAGTTGACCATGAGGCCGGCAAAACAGATGGAGACAAGCGACATGTTGATGAAGCTTGTGTAGATGAACGCGCTCCTTGCAACCTCCACCTGGGTCTTTCTGCCGCTGGGCCACACTAGCGAGGTCTCTTTGGATTTCTCGATGGTTTCCTTGGATCGGCCCGTGATTTTAGATTCTTCATCTACTGCCAAGGGTTTGGACTCCTTGAGAAACAAGGTTGAGATCACAATGCTGGAGCCGATGATAGCGAGGACGACATAGTAATTCTCGCGACGAGGATGGTGCTCGTCGAGAATGGCTGCAGCTATCTCAGTCACGATGGCGATCACCGTGTATCCGATAGTCTCATTGATCCCAACAGCCGTGCCCGAGTGCTCCTGGCCGAGATAGTCGATCATGATGAAGATAGTTGCACTCCAAACCAACGCTTGTTGAATGCCAAGGAAAATGTTGGCTGTCGCGACAGTCCACCAGTCATTCGCGTACAGAACCATGAAAGGCATGGGCAAGGAAAGCACCCAACCAATCACAACAGCCCACTTGCGACCAAAGATATCAGAGAGCACGCCTACTGTGAAATTGAATATGGCCTTGGTGATGCCGAAGAAGACGAAGTTTGACGTGGTCAAGGTGAATTTCTCGGTGACAAACGTGAAGACTTCTGCTTTCTCCGTGCAATTGTTTTTCACCTGGATCCATGCAGCTGGAGTGTAGGTGAACGTTCCAGATGCGACCGAAGTCGACTTGAACGGGGGGCTCAGCACTTCTTTCCTGCATTCTGACTGGCCGGCAATCCATGGCATCGGGAAAAGGAAAAACTTGTTGCACGCTCCAACGCACATGACTAACCAAACAGCCAGCATGAATTGGAATGGATTTTTCTGGATCTTCGCCAGAATGCTGAAGAATCCATCATAAAGCTTTTTATCTTCGCCGAGAGCCATCGTTGGTGCCTGCGCCAGGTCAATCAGATAGCTCATGATATGAAAACTCACTTCATCATTTCTTTTTTTAAGTCCTTCCCTGCTTCTAGTACTACTCCCACATCCTCGTCCCCTTACTTTCTGTCTCTCTCTCTCTCTCTCTCTCTCTCTCTCTCTCTCTCTGTCTCTCTGTCTCTCT